TGCTCCCTGCCAGAGCTGTCTGTGCTCTCTCTGCTCCCTGCCCGGGCTCTCAGCTCTCTCCGTGCTCCCTGCCGGGGCCGCCCGCGCTCTCTGAGGCGCTGCCGCTGGGCCCGGCCCCGTCCCACGCTCGGAGGTTTCGCTGGCTCAGGTGCTGGCCTTTGGGTTTGTCATATTGGACATCATCAGGCTTTCTTGTAGCTGATCAGCAACCATTCCCCCCAACACATCCACAGTCCTCACCAAGTTGCCTATTTTCTTTTTTCTCCTTTTTGAAAGAGGTGCTTTTGAACACAGGTGCTTGTTCCTGCAGGCATTCAGGATTCTCCAGCATTAATTTGCCGTGCAATGACTTGGCACTTTGTGCAACATTTTGACATAAACATGGTTATACATTTTTTTTTTTGGTGTATGATTTTGTGGTTATAGCAGCAAACTGATTCAATAATTTCCTTCAGTATCTTTAAGAACTCTTCTAAATGTTCTGACACAAACTGGATAAGGAGCTAGTTTGTTTTCAAGATTCTTTGATGTGATGAAGTAAATGGAAAAATTATCTCTGTGACTTCTATAATAATGCTTTGATCATAAGGAATATACTTTCCTCTTTAATGTTGAAATAGTGTTCAGCTATAATTTCTTTGAGTAATTGTTCCTGTTCGGTAGTTGAGGTAGAGTAAGTGGAAGGAGCTGCAGGAGGCCCCTGTTGACACTCTGAGGGTACATGTGGCTGCAAAAATTGAAGTAATATTCTTCATGGGGCAGGAAGATGTGATTTCATTCTTGGCTCCCTTTGGAGTTGTGGGCTACTACTAATTTTGTTCTTGAATGTTGAAAGCAGTACACTTGCTAGACATTCTAGCTTTTATTTGGCTAAGAAAGTGATACTGAAACAAAATTCAGAATTGTTAAAATCAAGCATTTTAAATAAACACCAAAAGAAGAACAGTATTGCACACTAGTGCTTGCTTCTTGTAGCAAAGCAGGCTCACTGAACTATGGCAATTGCAGGAATTCTAGGAAAGTGAATTTGAAAAGTAATGTTATTGGTTTAATATGAGTTATTTACTCTTCAACAAAATGCCATGTTTCAAATAAGAAAATTACTTCATGGGATCAATGTGCAAGACAAGGTTCAGCTTTGCATAGCAGTATTTCTGTGTTATTTCCTTGGAGTTTATTACTCCAAAGGCCTAAATTAACAATAATTCTTGTATTTCCAAATGGTACTGCCAATTTGCTATTTTTTTGTAATTTTGGACCTCCTTTACAAAAAGAAAATTTCCTTTGGACTCTTTGATTTGCACTCTCAGAAAAGAAAAGTGTTGGATTGTTGCATCAGTTTTGTTGGTGTTACTTTCATATGCCTGCTGGGAGTGAGTCATTACATTCCAACAAGGATATATTTTTGTGTTTGGGTTTTTATCTTTTTTGGTGCCCAAACTTCACATTCACCCTGCTCCTGAATTAGGGTTTAACTAGGCTGTGACGTATGCATTTTTTGTTTTGGTTCCTACACCTGTTTATTAGCTGTACACACAAAATTAATCAATATTGTAATTTAAAGATAAGTAGTGCACATGCAAGAAGAAATTGAGACTTTTTTTAGACTGTAATTTACTTATCCTGTCCAAGTATTGTAATGGTTCTGATTAAAAAAAAAATAAAAACAAAAACATTTAAACTGTAAAAATAGTCAGTTTATGTATAATCTTGAATGTCTTGTTTTCTTTTTAGGTTTTCAAAACAGACCTAAATCTTTGAAAGTGTTTGTTAATCCGAGCAGCCACAAAAGAGAAGCCACTAACATTTATTATGAAAAAGTTGCACCTCTTTTTAAACTTGCTGACATAAAAACTGATGTCACAGGTAAATTGCTTCAGAGGTATAATTTAATCCTTTGTGAAACTAATAGTTAAGCATGCAAGACAATTTGAATTTACTGCTTATCCTTATTGCCTTTAACTGCAAGTATTGCATTAGGAACTGTAGTTAATACAACACAATGTATTTTTATTTGGTCAAAAAGTGCTTCAGTAAATCTGTTATTGATTCAGTATTTTTCACCTATAGAAATCATTACTAGTAATTTAGTCTTTTTTCCTATGTCTGTTCTAACTGACTTGAATATCAGTTAGATATCAGTTTCAGCTTAAAAAAATTATAAGAGGTCTCATCTTGCAGTTGTTCCTTAAATTTCTTATGAAATGATGACTTGTTCAGGTTGCAGGACAAAAATTATTTTGATAAAATCTGATTTAGCCATGAGAATATACTAGTGCAATAATGGTAGATGAAAATTATCTTGCTAATTTTATTCCCTGTATCCATGTATTTTTTTTAACTACTTAGCCCACAGTTTAAAGTAACATCAATGGAAGATTAAAGACACATTAGAAGAATTGCGAAAAAGATTGTGTGCATTAGAATTCTGTAGAAATAATTTCTTAAATGCCCTGAACTGAGAGGGAATGCCAGCAGCTTTATATAAATTTTAATTCTCACAGACATAGTTTTCCACCTGGAGGGCATGGAGGGTGTGAGCAGACTAATAATGCTGTCATAAAAGAAATTGACTTAGCCTTGTTCGGTCACAATTTTAAAAAAGTTTTAATACAAGTTGTGAATACAATTTGTGGAGGTTTCAAAAACATTTTTACTAGTGGAGCAAAACCAGATTTAAGTTTATTTAAAAATTATTTTTCTTTGAAATTTGAATAGGAAACTTCTTGGTTGAGCCAGAAAAATGCTTAATGGCCTGTCATTCAATTGAGGTTATTTTGGCAATGTTGAAATAGTCCTGTGCTTATTAGCTGCCTAACACTCCTCCTACAGGCAAAATGAGAAAACTGCATTGCAGTTTTCAATGCTGGTAGAGAACTAAATAATTAAGAATTATGTTTTGGGTTTTTTTTTAAATAGAGGGGGATGGTGGGCGCTGAGTAAAAGTTCTGTCCACTGGTACCCTATTCAAATAAAACCAAGTGATTTATTTCGACTAAATTGAACTGGGTTTTTTCCTTCCATAATTGTTTTGGGTTTTGTGAAGTTGGAGTGTGCCATTTGCTGTTCCTGCTGTTTTGGAACATGGCCAATATTTATAAAACTGGTGGTGTACCAATCTGTATTAGGTACTGAAATTGTGAAGGCTTTTGTACATTTTTTGCACTGAAGATAGTTTGCATTTTGACTTTTCCACATACATATCTATAAAATTCATTGAATGCCAAATTAAAACTTGTTGAGCACAAAAATTTTATAGCAAATTTGAACTTCTGAAGTGGCTCCTAGTTCATATAAAATAAAAAATTTGCAGGTTACTAAAACCACTTCAGAGCATTAAAGATTGACAGTGTAGTGCTGGAAGACAGAGCTCTTTTCCACCAGTCTTGTACATTGGTAGCTGTTGCTTCCTCTCTGATCAAGCTTTCCAGATCTTATTCTTCATTATAGCTTCTCTTGGAATAAACTTCTTATGTGTTTAGAAATATTTTCTGCCACCCAAGGATATATGGCAATCTAAAGACATGTATGTAAATAAATGAGTGTATGTAAATAAGTGAGATGTAACATTTACTTTTTTCTAATAATTTCAAAATTTTGTAGAGTTGTCTGTTTTTTTTTTTTCTCCCCCAAATGGCTTTGTGTGCTGTGCTTTAATAATTTCAGTAAAAATAACCAAAGGTATTATGGAATGGATTGTGTTTTGCTGGGTTTTTGGGTTATTTTTGTCACATGCAGTAAGCAAATCTTTTGCAGTAAGCAAAAAAGTGCTTAGAGCTCTAGAAAGTGTGAATTGGCAAATTTAAACTGAAGCAGTACTTTTAACTGTGGCTAAGGTGAAAAAACAGATAAAGTCTGGCCTCTTTTAAGAACTGGGCAATTTTTTGTGCTGCAGCTGGGATGGGGCAACTAAGGATAAGAATGGTGACTCTTCCAAAAATTGAGTTCTTCAAAATCTCAGTCCACTGTTGAGATGCCTGCAAGTACTGGCAAACTGTGATAATTGAAGCTAGTATTTTAGAAATACATTAGTATTTTGCAACATCTTACACAAATTTAAATAAAAATAATAAATAAATAAGAATAAATAAAGGAAACCCTGACAGAATCTTGGCTTGTCTCACTTCTCTTCCTAGTTTTGACTTTTTTGCTTCCATTTATAAATACTTACAACCTGGACTTTTAGGCAAAAATAACAACCTTCCCAAACTCCTATTTTTATGGCTGAACCACAAAGGAAAGGAATGTTGGACAAATTGCATTTTTTTTAACTTAACCACATGGTAAATACCAACAGATAACTGGTGTTGATGCTGGATGAGAAAAAGCTGTTATCAGTAACAGTTAATCCCATTGATTTTAGTCTGTGACAGGAGTGCCAGTATGTTTAGGTATCACATGAAAGCATCCCCTGTTTCAAAGTGTTGAACTAATTTTATATTGCTTTTTCTATGTGTAGAGGCCAAGCCCTTGGTTCTTGTTTGCTATGTGAAGGGGATGCTAAAGTATTTTTGGAGTATGTGTGACAGTTCAAATGAGGTGCACTTTTGGTGTCCTTCCTCAGAATGCTGTTAATCTAACACTTAAGAACAAAAAATTATTGAAAAAAAAAATTCTAAATTATGCATTAAAATGGTCAAAAAATAAATAGTATTCTTATGATAATGATTTTGACAAATATGAGATCTGGATTGTTCTCCAACAATGAAAGAAGCTTTCTTCCTATTACCAAAATGCATTGAGTAGTTTTTTTTGTTTGTTTGTTTTTCCCCCTGAATTGGAACAATGCCAAATATTCAAACACTTAGCTTTTTTTCCAGCTATCAGAATGATTTATACATGCTCTTCTGGAGGCTGTCAAGCCTGCAGAAAACTTTCTAGACATGGTCTTTTTATGTCTCTATTGGATTTTTCTAGGTTCGTTTTCTACTTGAACTATATTCTATATGTTCTCATAAAGATTTTAGTGAAAACCTCATTTTTTTGACTGCCTTTTTGTTATTATGTGTCAAAATAGATCCTCTGTCATTCTGTCATCAAATTTTAAATTTCTTTTAATTCCCCAATCTTAAGCCTTGTACAATTCTATATAATTTCCAACTTAAGCTATTAAATACAAAGAGGATGGATTTGCTCTCAATCTGGCTAACATTAGTAATTTTTACTGCCTTTATTGATTTCTATGTAGACATGAGGTTTCTTTATTTTCATGTCCTTGTTCTTTGAGTGAATTAATTCTGTAACAGTAAGCATAACTTACATTACATTAGGAAAGCACTGAGCATGTTTTCTGTTACAAAATAAATCTTATTTACTGTTCCATTTTAATTAGACTGTACTCATAACTTTCTAAATGTCATCGTGTTCATTTAAAAAGGCATGTAACCTGGTAACCAACTCTATTTTCATGGGAAGAGTTTCTTTCACAGCTAAGCAATGGTAAGATATTTGAACCTTTCTGCATTTTTGCATGATGCACACTTTTATTGGTCACTTTTCACACGGCCTACAGATCTTGATAAAGGCATTGTTCCCATTGGCAATGCAAGGCTGAATATGGTAGCTTATATAATGTGCTTTGATATTCCAGAGAGGCCCTGAATGGAAGTAAATTCTGTAAATAATTCCCAAAAGTTATTACAGTGATAGGTGTTTCTGCAGCAAAATGATAAATCTCTGCCTTCCATATAATCAAAACAACTCTAGTTTTTTAATTAAGAATTTTCAAAACACCAACCATTAGAACTTTTCTGGTTCTGAATAGGGGATTTTGATGTTGTAGGCAATATTAAAAAATTTTAGTATGAAGTCTAAAAATGGTATCACTTTTGTTTCAATTTCGTTTTCCTTCTTATTTTTTAGGCAAAAAAGATACATACGCTAACTATGTCCACACACATACTTGTGTGTTTGTTTAAATAAGAAGAGATAAGGGTGTTTTCAGTTCTTGTAAGCAGCCTTTGAATAGTCTGTTGAAATATTATTGGAACAGGTACAGCTATGGAATGATTGTTTTAGACATAAAGACTAATAATTTTAGCAGTGTTTAGGAACACTGGAGAAAAGCCTTGAACTATGTGAACACCAGGGACAGAGAAGCATGAAAGATTAATGTAATTTTGCATATAATGATGCACATTCTTACACAAAAAATCCATCTGCAAGTGTCATGTCAGTCAGCAAAAATCTTTGATGGGTGGCTGCAGCTGGGCTGTCTCTTCTGGCAAAGCTGCCCTAGAAAATGCTAAATGTAGTTATGATGCTTCGTGCCATCTGTAGTATGCCAGTTTATCCTGTCTTCACTGGCATTTACAGTACTATATAGGGTATCAGCAAACACAGAGACATCAATGTGGAGTGACAGATTCATTTCCTCCAGAGGCTATGAACTCTGGTGTATACTTGTGCCACCTTCCTCTGTGTGTTATATGCTGTTGTCACTGGTATTTGGCTTGATTTCATACTTCTGTGTTTAACTCCTCTTATTTTTGATTTAGCAATTTGCATATCCTAACACAAAGGCAATTAACTTTGATTGATCCTGAAGTAATTCAATCTTAACTGAGGATATGCTTATTTTCCTGAAGTTTACCAACTGTGTCGGTCCTAGAACTTACATTTTGACGTGAGAAACGTCTTTTTGGATTATCTGAATTAAAATGCATGAAATAGCCATGTATCTGATAGCAGCTGAAATTAAATGTTTGGCCTTTTAGCTAGGATAGCTGTAAAATAAAACTTCTTATACTTTTAATGCATTAATTACTTAAAAAATAATCTGAATTGAGTTACTCTGTTTTCCTTATGTTGGATGGACAGAATAATTTAAAGTTATCTAATCTGCTGCTAACTGATGTTTTCCACAGTAACTGAATATGAAGGACATGCTCTCTCAGTGCTTAAAGAATGTGAACTGCAGGCATTTGATGGGTAAGTTGGTTAGTGGCTATGGAGGTTAGTAAACCACATCATGTTATTTTTTGTTTGTATTACAATCAAAATTATGTTAGAGAGTATTTAATGAGTATTTACTGTTACTCATATATATGAAACTTGAGAAATTCAGTTCTCATTAAATACTTTGGTATTTATTACTTACAATAGAAATGTATCTTGGATTCATAAATAATGGTAAATAAACATAACACTCTCTGAAGCATGCTTCATGAGGGTTTCAGTCTCTGTATTTGTAAGAATACAGAGATGAAGAAAATGCCTGGATTGTATATCTTCTTTCACAAATATCTTCTACACGGAGTCATGTTTGAATTGTTTCATCTTTAATCTTTGGGTAGGCACTTAGGACTTCCACTGTAAGACTTTCTCCAGTAGCCAGATCCAAGCTGGAAGAACAGAACCCTTTTGAAAAACTACAGTCATGTGTCTTATATACTCCACCTTTTTTGCTATCCATTTTTTTTAGAGATGCAAAAATGTAGAAATGGCAAGATAACATGTTTTTTTTTAATTCATTGCAATATGTAAACAAGATAGCAATCTGCAATTTCTGGGCTTGATTTTCTCTCTAGGAGAGTTATGGTTCCTTCCAGGTTAACAGAATATCAAGTAAACTGAAGCTTATGATTTGTGGTAATAAACTGGAAGTTTATAGCTCAGTGCTTTCTGAAAGTGACACTCCTATGTGTTAATTCTTTGTCAAAGCTGTTTGTTTTTATAATTTCTATGATTTCTCCAGTCACTATTCTGTTTTGAAAGACCACAGGCAGATGTCTTATACACTCTACATTTTATGCTATCCACTTTTTTTTAGCGACACTGAAAATTGAGGCACTTTGTCACTTTGGCTCTTTACCCCTGACTTGTGGCTGAGCTTTGGTGACAAATAGAGAGACTGCATTTGTGGTGCTGCTATCTCAGCTGGGTTTTCCTATCTGTACAGAGACAGAAATAGACAATGCCCATGTATATATTTGTTCCCTAGTCAGGAGCTTAAAGTATCAAGGATATTTAGAGTAGCCTGGGTTAGTCAGTCCTTAGTGAATAGTTGATTAAGAAAGTTGCATCTGATGGTTAAATAGATGGTTTTTGTTCTCAGAAAGATGTTTCTTTTTCTCTTTCTTCTTCAAAGTCTAAGTAAAATTTGTTTGCTCCAGACTTTATTCTCCTTACGCATAGCAGGCTCTCACTGATTAGCATTGGAATCCCAGGTGCCTCATGGTATCTCTATTTCCAGCCAAAAAGGCAACTCTTGATGATTAATGCTAAAATAGTAAAAATCAAAATTAGTAGCATTTTGGTGTTATTCCTTGGACTCTATCTACACAGCACTCCAAAATCAGAGGAAAATATATCTGTTTTCATGAGTTTTAATAGCCAGAAGATAATTCATACAAGTCCTTCTGGGTATTATACAGTTTTTCACACTTCAAAGATTAACTGGTTTTTCTACTGTGACAGAGAATTTTAAGCTTGGGAATAAACAAAAAGTGAGTTAAAAGAAAGGCAATGACTCCTGATTGCAAGCAGGAAGAAAATGTACTTCAAACTTATATTCTATTCTTCAAACTATATATTGTATTTTTTAAAATTTAATGTGGCAATGTTTAGCTATATAGAGGAAACATTCCTAAAAATTGGTGATTAAAAATCAGTTTGGAAATAATAATAGAAACTGAAGAAAAATATTAAAGGAGACAAAGTAATTGGATTTAAACATTTGGTAACATTAATAACATAATGAGTGTTTTCTTATAAAGATCTGACCAGTTTTACCTGATTGAATGACTGGACATAGTTTCACAACTGCATTCATACAGATATGTGAAAAGAATATAATTTAGGTGAATTCCTCCCAAAGTAACTATGTCACTTCTGTCATAAATGCTTTGAATGTATTATTACTATTCCTATCCTTAAAATATGTTTACTAATTTGGAGAATCACTGTAATGTGTACTTAAATAAACAAAAACAAGGAAAAAAAATGTTTGCTGTAACAGAGCTTTTACAGACAAATGCATTCCTCTCTATAGCCACAGCAGGTGGGAGTTTAATTATGTGCTCCAGAAGCAGTGATTAAGTACCTTTGTGCAAAAGATTGCTGGCACTAGGATTTTATACTTTGCTAAATCCCTCAACTGCCTGCATAGTGTATGAAAATAGCTGTTTTCAAGTGTTTTTTAATTTTATTGCAATATTTGGTGAGTTGTTACTGTAAGGGCAATTAAAAGGCATTGAAATGTTTGTATGGGTCAGCATTGAAAGATGTAAAGAGCTTTTCCACCGAGGCACTCAAGCATGTGTTTGGTTCTTCATCTGATCAGTTTATGTGCATGATGTGTGGTAAGGTAAGAAAAACTTCATAAGTTTTTAGGTATATTTACTCCTACTCAGAAAGCAGAAATAAGAATGCTTAAGGAGCATTTAGGTAACATTTACAGATCTGACAGTGAAGCCCAAGCTTGTTGTTAAAAAAAGAATGTTTTCTAGCTTTTTGAAATATCATTATGTATATGGTGTGGGGTAGCTGCCTTCCACTTGTTTGTTCAGCTATGGAAGAGTTTGTTTTGAAATGTTTGGCATTTTTGTTTTGTAATAGGGTAGTTTGTGTTGGTGGGGATGGATCTGTCAGTGAAGTTGCTCATGGTCTACTGCTCAGAGCCCAGATAGATGCTGGGATAGACACAGAATATGTATCAAAGCCTGTCAGAGCACCGGTTCCTCTTGGAGTAATACCAGCAGGTGAGAATGAAAGGTACTGTGACATTTTGTTAGTCATCTCTTTTTAGTCCCTCTGACATGTTTTACAGTTTTGGCTACTAAAGGCAGTTCTTGATGCTAAAGCTTCAGTTATGTAAGGGAGCTATTGAACAAATGTCCTAAATTAGTGATTTGTATTGATTACAAATTACTTGATTTTAAATTGTAATGATAATTTATAGTAATGGCACAGATAAGCTGTTTGCCTGAAGGAAGAAGCTGAGAAAGAATAAAAATAAAATAATTTTCAGTTGATCCATACAAGATCAAGTTTCACTCTTATTTCCTGACAGAAATGGTACCAAATGAAAACTTTATTTTCTAGATTTTCCTTTTTTTCATCTCCAGTTTTGTTGGCAGAATTCTTAGTTGGATTTATGCTTATGGTCAATTTTAAAATGGTGTCCCAGAAATGCATTGTGTATATTATATTTAAAAAAAAAATGTGTACAAAAAACTACTTTCTCCTTTAGTTTTACAGACATGAAAATCTGTCTCTCTTAAAAAGTCATCTTGCTCTTTTATTAATTTATATCTGGTGGTGTGGTTTTGTGTTGGGGGTTTGTATGTCCCTTCTTTTCAGTGTTTGTATTTTCCCTCCTTGGAGTGTAGCTGTGCCCAGCAGGAAGGCTTTGGCAAGAGCTGTTGTGGTTTAAGCCCAGCCAGCAGCCCAGCCCCACACAGCTGTTTGATCACTGTCCCACCTGTGGGATCAGGAAGAGAATCAGAAGTGTAAAAGCTGAAAAACTCTTGGGTTGAGATGAAGACAGTTTAATAGGAAAGGCAAAAGCTGTGTGCACCAGCAATGCAAAACAAGGAATTCATTCCCTGCTTCCCATGGGCAGACAGGTGTTCAGCCATCTCCAGGAGAGCAGGGCCCCCATCATATGTAACAGTGGCTTGGGAAGACAAATGCTATCACTTCAAATGTCCCACCCTTCCCCCATTCTATATACTGAGCATGGTGTCATATGGTCTGGAATATCCCTTTGGTCAGCTGGACTCACCTGTCCTGGCTGTGTCTCCTCCTGAAAGCTTTTGATGCACCCTCAACTTCCTCACCAGCATGGCAGTACAAAAAGCAGAAAAGGCCTTGGCTTTCTGTAAGCTCTGCTCAGCAATAACAAAAACATCTCTGTATTATCAACCTTGTGCTCAGCACAAATCCAAAACACAGCCCCATATTAGCCACTGGGAAGAAAATTAACTACCCTAGCCAAAACCGGCACAAATCAGTACAGTCAGGGTTGATTCTGGACTACTATATGAATCACTTCTCTTGAAAAGAAGAGAGGTATTTTTGCATGAACACTACTCTCTGGTGTGGATGTTTGCTAAGACTACTTGACATAGTTTCTCAGATGTTTTTAACTGGTAAGGAAAACATTCCTACAGCCAGTAAAACAGCAAATCACTGTTTTGAGTTTTTTATGAAAAAAGGAGCATGTCACTTTGAGCTGACCAAAGAGATTTTTACATGCTTTGATTTGGTTTGCATATGTAAGAGGAGGATTAGTTGCTTGTAAAGGAGCAAGATTAGCTTTCTCTCAGGTTAAAAAACCCTTGGCAAAAGAGACAGCAATCTCAAGGACAAATTCATTACCTCAATGAAGGTACAGAAGTTGGGCCATCACTTACCAGCTCAGTTACTGTGAGTATCTCGATGGTGTTGAGGCAGAATCTCTGCAGCCCCTGACTCCGTGTTGTGGGTAGGTCACTGTGCCTGTCATTGGTGCTTTCTCTCCTGAGTTTAAGACAAATATGTTGTGATCAGAAAGGACTTGTAAACCCAAAAGAATTCCATACGGTTTCTTACACAGAATGGCATAGGTTTTGTGAAAGAGGGTCAGAACAGTTTATAAAATGATATTGTGAGAAACTCCTAATAGGTTCTTAAAAGTGATCTGTTGCTTGTTTGATTTCCATATTTCTGATATTCCATGAGGTACTCAGTTGGGAAACAGGTAAGTATGATACTTGTTCTCATGAGGATACAACTCTGGTCAGTTAACTTTTTTTCCCACCAGAAATCCAATGTACAAAATTATTAGGATTTTCCAGCCAAGTAGAAACAGCAACTGAATTACAGGATAGTATTATGTGGGTGGCTTAAAATCTGGTTTTATCCCCTATAATAAGTACTTAAGTCAGCATTTTGAAATTTCAGTCATCTTGATGGGAAGAAGATGCTTTTGAAACAATTTACCTCCTAAAGAGAGAGGTCCAGAGGGGAGTATGTTTTTACTGAAATACTCTACTGAGCTGCCTTATTGTGGTCCAAATCAAATGGATGAGATATGGGGAAGCCTGCAGTTGTACTGCTGGCCATTAGCAAGAGTGTTTGTTGCTATGGGAACTACTGCTAAGAAACTGTATGGAGGGGGAACTGGAGAAAGGGGAGGGGGAACTGTGGAAGGACATTAAAAAAGCTATCCAGTTGTTACAGAACAAGAAACAATCTATATCTGATGCCTGTAAACGTTTTGATGCAAAGTGGTTCATGTAAATAAATTCACGATTCCCAATTAAATCAGAAAATAAAATATTACTGAGGGACCGTTAATTTCTGTAATATTTCAGGCAAAGAACCAAAATGTTGGTGCAGTTTTCATCAGAATTTTAGCTATGCTTGACTAGGAAGTCATTACATCACATTTATCTGTTTGGATGGGGGAGACATTAACAGCCTTATGAATATTCATGTCATCTGGTTAATTAAGTTAATTGTACTGCAGAAGTGCTTGCACTTCCAAGGACAATTTTTTTCTCTACAATTTCTGTTTGGTACCTTCATCAGTCATGCTTTACATGACCTGCAGATACTCTGTTCTTATTGAGATGCTTTTGCACTTTTGGTGGGAAGGAGGTGGTAGGAAGTTGTTTTTAATGTCAGGAAAATTTGTAGATATTTTGAGCAGAATTGCATTTTGGAGTAATCTTCTTTGTTTCTGTAGAAAAAATGCTGATGCTGGATATTAAATAGAGATGCTGAAATTGTATGGATAAAACCTTTTCATATTAAATTGAGTAGCTGAAGTGAGAAGTAAAAATGTGACTTACTAATGTGTGAGCAGCGCAAGTCATGGGCATCAAAGGTTTTTAATCTCTGAAGTAATATGATAGCATTCAGGGGAACAGTTGTTATTGGTAAATAATATCTGAGCTTGCATAGGGGAAAAGAGATTACTTGGGAGTATGAATAATGGCATTAAAACCATTATTGAATCTCCATTTAAATCAGAAAGGCTTGTATCATTATTTTTGTATAACTTTTATAATTTCTACTTTGTTTATAGGCTGCATGTTTTGGGTTTACTTGTTTTGGTTTGGATTATTTTCTCTGGCATCCTTCTTGTATAGGACTTAGCTAATAAGGCATGTTATTCAGTCATTATTGGGATCAAAACTGCTGGTAGGCATGTACCAAGTGAAGTTTTTAGAGAATATGATGGTGCTTTGCTCCCACAAAACTGTGCTTGATCCAGTTCTTCAACTTGTGGAAAGGTGGATGTAGTGCTTTTGTTTTTGAACACAGAACTTGTTTTATCTTCCTCAGAGTCCTGAAAGGGTGGAATTTTGCCTTGTTTACTTCTGCAAATGTTAATGAGCTCCAAAGATTTAAGAGAAGGATGCAATTACTTGTGCCTATCCAGTTTAGTAGGAATGAGATTTAAGTCTCATTAAAGTCAGTTTGAAGATTGGTACTGAATTCAGCTGTGGTTGTTTGGTATCTTACTGCCATCTGCATTGATAAATTACTCTTAAATCAGGATTACAGCTTAAACTCATACCAAGCTTGATCTTCCAAACTATATTCCACCTTGTGCTTGTTAATTAGCTTGATCTTTAGTGAGAAGTGAAACATTTTTTTTAGAATAACAACTGCCCTGTCTTGACACACAGGAAGTAAGCATGGTTTGCCTGACTTATAACAATCTGCTGCTTCTATGTGTGATTTCCTTTGTTTTGGAGACATAACAGTTGATAAGAGCTGTGTAGTACTGATTGAAGGAAATATTTGAGTATTCTTCAGTTACATTTTTAGCTACCTTCACTGGCAAAGCAGAATTAGTTGGATCTGGAAGTTAAATCCCTGGCGTCATTCAAACATAAAATAGTGTTGAGCATATACTTGTAGTATTCTGGGAAGAAATGCTTTTTAGGTCAAATGTAGGGGTTTTTGTAGGTTTTGGGTATTTGTTACCTTAAAAGATGTACCTCTCTTCCTTCATATAGCAGGAACTCAGAGCTCCTCTCTCTGATGTTATGGCAGCTTTCCATGAAGTTATAAATTACATTCAGTGGCTAAGGTGCTCTAAGGACTTAACGGGTGATGTGTGAGATTCCTAGTTAGGCTAATTTTTTTTTTAATTTAGAGAAATTATTGGAAAAAAATCAAAGATATATTCCTGAATAATAATGTCATGATGCCTTTAGAGCTTTGTAATTATGTACATCAGTAATTGCAAATTCTGCATTTTTTTCCACACTCTGCATGACATAAAAGCAGAATTTGGTGATAAACAAAATTTTTCAATCTGGTACATTATTCTTTAGCAGTGCTTTTTAAATATTGAGTGTCTGTTGCTTGACATGTGGTAGTCTTTTTCTTTCTTCCCTTCTTTCCCCTACTTTAGAAAGACAAGTAATTCTTCCATAAAACTTAGGGCAAATTTAACATCCAGAATTGTCTATTGCTGCTGTAGAATATTAAATAATTGAAACAAGAAAATTATTTGAAAATCTATATGAGCTCATTTTTATATGGGAATGTTAGGTACTAGACTGTTCTTATGTAATTTTTATTCTTTTAATTAAACTTTTATTGAATTATTTATCCCTTAAGCAGTGATATGAAGAAGTCAATATTCTGCCTGTTTGGTGGCAGGCCTTTATTTTTCCAGAGGTGAATTCTTTTGCTGATTGGCTGAGTAATGCCAGAAATGAGAAAAATAAATTTGAAATTTTTTTTTAAAAGACTCCTGTTTAGTAAAGACACAACTGCTCCTTCTTCATGATTTAAAAAATAAATTTATATTCAAAAGTCAGCTGATGCACAGTATTTTATGTCCTAGGCATTAAAGCAGAAGGGCAAAATTTACATAGATATCTCCATGTTTCTTACCCAGGTAAAGTGCGTTGACATATCAATCACCAGCAGTCCTGGGCCTTCAGAACTCTGCTTCTTTATTTTGCAGACTGACAGCTGATTTTCCACTCTCTTTCAACTCTGTGCTGACATAGCTGGATTTTGACTTTTTCTTCTATTTGCAATCTGATTTACTCACTCCCTTGTTTCAAAATCTTCCTCTTCCTCCTCTCTCTCTCTCCTCATGGCTGGTGGAACGACTGACTGCCAGTGTCCAGGCAGTGCAGATGAGAGTGAGATGGATCAGTTTTGGTGCACTGAACACAAGTCACCTCTTTGTCAGATGTCACATTCCACCTTCCCTGGTTTTCAGTCATTGAGTTGTTTCTTGTGAGGCTGATGTGCAGTAGTTAATTTTATTCAGTGTTCCAAGAATCTAAAATGTAGCCACAGCAGCTATCTTTGACTAGATTAAATATCATTTAGATTGAAAAATGTACAGTTTTACACTGTCTGGGTATTATTTTATCAACTTAAAAGTATTCCCCAAATACATCTTATTAGTAATCTGCCTTCTAGTTCCTTAGTACAGCACTTGGGTACATAAGAGGTGATGATTAAGGAGATGGTTTTAAAAAATCCAAGCAGGCTATATGTTGAAAAGCTTGTTTCTTCCACTGGTTTGTTTTTATGGCACTTATGAATGAGTTTGCAGAGAAGATTTTATAAGCCTCTGGAAGTTTCAAAGGTTTTAATTTCATACTTTTCAGCATTTCTGCTGTTATCAAGACAATTCATGGACGAGCTTTATATCTTTTAACATGCAGTAATTAAAAATACTGTGTATGTTTGTCCTGGTTATTTTGTATCTCTCATGGTTTTTTACAGCAGGTTTTTTTTTGTTTTTTTTCACTTTTACAGGTACTACAAATATTTTGGCCCATACACTCTATGGTATTAAACATGCAGTGACAGCGACATTGCACATTGTAATGGGTAAATATTTTTACATTCATTACCAGATTATAAATAATAAAGCAGTATCTAGAAGTTTGTCATAACCAGTGTCTCAGTAAAGGCATAGCATTTTGCTGTGTCACTGTAATCTATATTGTAAGGCTTTTAAACCCAAATGATTCTAACCTGGTTTTAGCTCCAGGTGCATTTCTTTTAATTAGTAACAGTTTCTATAAGAAAGTTGTATTTACAGAAGAAAATGTATCATTTGCCACTGGGTCTGCACAATAAATGGGTTTTGAATGTGAAAATGTATTTATGCTAAAAGGGAAAAGTAGGTTGCTAGTGCAAACCTTATTTTTGGGTCTTAGAAAAGCAAATACTTTGTCAGAAAATGTTAATTTTACTCTCAAAAGAGTCTTTCTTTAGAACTTCTTTTAAATTAAAAAAAGAGAAGAAAGATTAAGGTCCCTCTTGAGTAGCTCTTGGTCTTGCAGTCTGCAGTGGAAGAGCCTTTGCTCTATTTCTCAAGTCGTAATACAAAACCCTTTACAGGCAAAATCTAAACCTGTCTTTAAAAATCAGAGACACTGAATGCAGTGGAAGATGCCCTGGGTCTATTTAAAAAAAGTGTATATGTCCTATCTTGAAGAGAATCATATGTTTATAACTGTAAACATAAATACACTTAAATATATAAACATGAATACATTTAAAACCTATGTTTAAGAGTTCCCATATATCCTCCAGTACAACATGGTGTTATTACATGTTTTTGGTGAAACAATTGCAGAGATTTATGCAAATATGAGCACAGTACATTTTCGTTGATTCTTGTTGTTGAAAATGTGCACAGAATTGAGTTAGACCCTTTGCAGCCTTATGAAGTAGCCAAATGTTCTACCATAGCTTTAACATTTTTAAGTATCTGAAATTACTACTGTGATAGTCTTAATTTTATCTAGATTGATTCTAGGTTTGATTAGTAAAATTCATTTCCTAAAGAGAGAGGAGTCTGGAGGGGTTCTTCCCCCATCTAAAGTAGATGAAAAACAAATGGTAAGTTGTGTGTCATTTGAAATACAGATTTTTTTTTTTTTTTTTCTCTTCTCTGTCTGTGAAATTTTAGGACACATTCAAGCAGTAGATGTGTGCACTTTCAGCACTCCAAGCAAGCTGCTGCGCTTCGGGTTCTCGGCCATGTTTGGGTTTGGGGCGAGGACGCTGGCTTTGGCAGAGAAGCACCGCTGGATGCCCTCCAGCCAGAGGAAGGACTTTGCTTTCATCAAAACCCTGGCAGATCTCAAGTATGCCAAGAGATGTTATGTTTTTCTAGTATTTCTCATTTCCTTGAGGAAAGTGAAATAAACTACGGCTCTCTTTGTCTTTATGAGATTTATTATCTTAATTGCAGACAGGTTTAACTCAAATGTGTTGTATATCCCTCTTACAAGTTAAAGAGGAGATAAATTCTGTACATTCAGAATCGCCTGAAAATCATCTTAACTTTGATAAGTGTGCCTAACAATCAGAATACTGAATTACATCATAGTAAATGTCAATACTTTTCTAGGCCGGAGGAATGTGAATTATCGTTTCTCCCTCTACAAATTGAGGAAGACACTCATGAAAAGGACAGGTAAGTAAAACTGGCTCAAGCAATTCCAAAGCTACAGAAATGTGTCTTTGAAGAATAAAATCGTACAGATTCTTTACTTTTTTCAAGTTTAATCAACAAGTGATATAATCTTAGGAGTTATTTATTTTGACAGCTGCAAACTTGTACATATTGTAAAGTGTTTCCTGTAGAGGATCCTATAGAGGATCTTGTTACAAGGCAGTCTTCCATTCATTATTATTGATTTTCTCAGTTCCACTAATATGTTACTTTTTTTGTAAAGTATGTGTTGCTTAAATGTGCAATTGACTTTAATTTTTTTTTACCTACATGTTTCCACCTTTTAGAAAGAAGAAAGGGAGAATGGGAAAAGGTGAGTTTCTGCTTTTAGGATTTTTTAAAAGTGAACCATGGCTGATTAACTGGAGTAATATAGAATTACTCTGTTATATTTAGGTAGCAAGGATCAATTGCAGAAAATTCAGGGTCACTTCCTGAATGTGAGCATTATGGCAATCCCTTGTCTGTGTTCAATGGCACCAAGAGGCTTGGCACCTAATACGAGGTCAGTATGGGTTTAGAGAATTAGTCATGTCTATAAATTCTGACATCTTACCTTAAGACCTTGGCTTTTCCGAGAATATGAGCCTATGTTTAGGTAGTCTAGTCCCTCTGGACTGGGGGAGGGAGCGTAGACTGCAGCAGACTCGATAATCCCAGGAATTGTAATCAGTTTTTGGATCAGGCAAATAAGGTCAAGCAGTCTAACTAGAATTATGAGTGGATAATTGCTGTGATTAAATTAGTTGGCAAGTCTGACTTAAGTAGTAGTCATGGAGCAGTCATCTGTCATAGGATTTGCCTTTATGGGGAAATTTCACCCTTAGATTTAATTTTATTTTTTCTGATATAAAAGTGACCCTCGTCTTCTGCTCAACAGCCAGCAAAAATGAAATATGAGTCTTTCTCATATTATTAAAGACTAAAGTTCACACTTGTCTTTTTCTTATTATTTTTTGTTTGGTTTCCCTCAGAATTTGATAAATGAAGCTTCTACTTGCAGGGTTTGGGGAAACAAAGCAGTATGTAACCTGGTTGTTGACATTGACTCATTTTTCCTTTAGCTTCTTCTTGAGAGACTGCTTTGTATGTGACCAAAGCAGTTCTTAGGTAGTAAATATTTGTACCTGTTGTATCCAGTTGGCAACTGAGCAGAATAGCAAGTACAAACTTTGTAGTTGTATGCAAAGTATACAAAATGCTCCCTCAAAAAAAGAATGCAGAGACCTGTGTGTGTGCATGAATGTATAACAAAAGCACCCCAACACTCAGGGAAGTTTAGGGAATGAATCTCTTTTCTTTCATTAGATTGTTACTAAGTGAAATTGGGGAAGAATTGATGAGGTGTTTTTCTTCAAAATTGCTGGTTCATTTAGTAGAATTTTACTTCTTGGAAACAATATAGAACCAAATTATTTATGATTAAACTCTTAATGAGAAGTTTTCTTTGCTCACAGGATCCTGCTAATCTCACAGTCCTCAAGATAGTGCTTGAATGCTGTCCCATTTTAGCGACTTTGTTTTGCATTTAGTGTTTTATATTCCAGTCAGTTGGAAAATTCTGATGAGAATTTTAGCTTTGCTTTCTCTTTCTATCTGTTCTTCTCCATTTCTCAGTGACAGGGAATTTTGTAGCAACTCCATGCACTTATTGCAGGTTTGAATGAGCCAGTTTCTCTCCCAGTGCAGCTACTCAGTGGATCTCCCTATTTTTTTTTTTTTGTGTGTAAGAATAACGATTGTTCTTGCATCTCTTTTTAAAATAATCTCAAAGTATGTAGAGTAGGAAGGGTAGACTCAAACAGGAGCTTCCTTTGTCATAGTGATTAACATATTGTCTGTAAGTCTTTTCAATGTGGGAAACAAGAACGTGGCACTGATTGTTGGAGACTTGAGACCCACTATGGAAAGAACTCGTGTAGGTTTCTTCTCTCTCTTCTTTTTTCCCCAAGAGGTTTCTGCCTTGTGAAGACATTTGAAGTGGGGTGCAAGCTTTGGCTGCTGCCTGTAACACCAGTTACACTGGTCTAAATTTGCAGAAATGTGTCCAGATACATTTAACTGTGTGTGCTATGGCAGCCCTGTGGGATGTGTTTTTCACAGCATAGGTGTTGTGTTTTACTGCAGATGATGCTTTTTAGGGAATTAATGAGAATTCTTAGTCATTTCTAAAGATGAAAGGCCCTAGTGCTGAATGTCCAGTAGTCTGCTGTGCCCTCTTATTGAAACAAATATGATAAGGAGGCAACTTTTTAAATGTCATCATCTCTCCTGAATCAGCAAAGTACTGCTGTGCCAGGTGACTTGCTTAATGTTTATGTAACAATTACCCTCCCAGATAGTGCTGCTACCATAGTCTGAGAACATTCCTGATGCAGCTGTTCAGTAGCTATCTGAAATATCCCTTTCAGTGCTGGTAGCCTGGAAGTAATTTTCTTTAAAACTCCTTATATATTTTCCAAACACAGATGCTGAATAAATAAATAAAGGAATAAATGTATGCACGTATTGCAGAAGATAGGAAGTACACCATCTCTCTCCAGAAGGCACTCTCAGATACTCTTGTTGAACACTGATCTGGCTCTGTAACTCAAATGGGACTTAGGCATGGTTGCATGGATATTCCAGTTAGTTTCTGTGTCCAGGTACATTCCATTAAGGAATGGGGGAACTGACACTGGCTCAGTGTGACCCCAGTTCTCAGTGATGCTAAAATACCCATGGAGGCTGGATACTGAGAGCCACTGAGCACTGAGCCACTGCACTGTGGGGGCTCTTCTTGTTTAATCTCTAGTACATGCCTGTTTCATCTCATACAAAATTCTTAGTCCTTAATTTTTTTTTTTTTTTTTTTTTTGGTGAAATGTATAAATAGAACTGTACTAAGAACTGCTATGAGAGTGTGAGTTGGAGATGGCAGCCTTTGTTAGGGCTGCATGGGTGTTGGTGGAGGGGGTGGGGGAGCCCATCTGCACTGGGTCTGTGTTGGGGGGGCTTCCATGCACCATGGCACTGCTTTCTGGGTACAGCTCTGCCTCACAGCACTTATGGTAACTGTTATTTGTTGCTGGAGAGAAAAGTAAAAAGAAAAGTTCGTGATCCCCAATGTTTAAAACCCATCTGTTAAGTAGAAAAGCAAGCTCTTCTTAGATTATATGTATTGTATTCAAGAAATGGCTATTGCTAAAAGTTATTAGTACAATATAAGAATGCTGAATAACTTCAGTGCTTAATTTATATTGATCTGTGGGGTGGGGGTCAGCAAAAAGATTTGAAAAACTATTGAGACTATCCTATTAATTTACTCTGTAGGCTTTAAAAATTTTTTCTTTCTAATCTAGGCTATTGAAGAGCCTTCTGTACTTCCAAATTAATGAATTATCTCTTTGTAGATTAATGAATTATCTTTTTGGTCTGCTTTTCAGGTTGAACAATGGAAGCATGGCTCTTATTGTTGTACAAAATACTTCTCGAACAGAGTTTATAAAGCATCTGAAGAGATACAGCAGTGCAAAAAATCAGGTACCATTAATTTCTTTCTGGTGATTATAAAAAGAACAGTTAATCGTGAAAGTAGACAAGCTGCAAGAGTTAATGTTAGCATCCTCGTAAGGAGACTTAGCTTCCTGTCAGAATACATTAGCCCCTTTTTATCTGATTTTTTTCTTTTTTTAAATCACTAGACTAATACAGATTAGCCTATTTCAGTCCATCTGTTGTGGTTTAAATTGTGTTTGTGTTGTACCATAGTTTTATGGGTGTAAAGCCCTTCCACCACAATAAGGAAACTCATGCCATGTCTGAGTTTTGTATAGTACAGAGATGGAGAATGCAGAACTGGGGGGGCATCCCACAACTCTGTCAGAAATTGGTAACGTTGGTAATTTCAGCAGGTCATGGCATGCTGTGCTGGTAGCAGTGGGTTGTGAGCACTGATTTTTAGCAGGTATGCATCCCATCTAGTTATGATGCTTGCAGAACTGTCATAATTCTGTCATGGAAGAGAAAAATGAAGCATTCAAACACAGATCTTATTGCTGTCTAAAGCCCCCACTGCATGGCCCAAGCACACTGGTACTCATTCAGATGTTCTGGGATTATGTGAAATCACTGTAGCAGGAAGGTTTGGGTTTGAATTCATCTATAGCCAGGGAGTTTGGGGGAGAGATGGGTGAAAATTCTAGGTGACAGCACTAATGGCTGAATTGAGGAAATAGCTTAAGCTTTCCAGTTATGCTTTTGGAGGAAGGCCTTGCTTTTCTCTCTGTCTTTCTAGTTACAAATCAGACGAGATGTGGGCCCTTCTTTAAGCTTAAAACAACCATTTACTAGAATTCTAAGTAGCCTGGTTTAGGACAAGATTACTGGTAATGATGAACAGAGAACATCTGCTTGGACTTTCACATATTCTGAAAGTATTTGGTATGTGCAAAATATACCCCCTTACCTGCAGGTTGATGGGAGTCCAATATGGGAATACAAATGGACGCTACCATTTTTTTCTGAGGCACTATTTAGGATAAAAATACCAGGTTAATCTATAAACACTAGCTGGAATACATAATGGCTCATGTGGTCAAAGCTTGAGTTAAATGTTCCCACTCAGGACAAAAAAAGTGCCAGCTTTTAGATTTCAAGTAACCCATTTTGTTTTAAGCTACCACCTGTATCTTTCATCTTCGTTTGCTGTCTGTGTTTGGTTTAGTTCAATTTTCCCTTTGTTGAGACCTACACTGTTCGAGAAGTAAAAGTACAACCAAGGTTTAAAAGTGGACCTGATGCCAAGGAAAATATGTGTCTGAATGTAGAAGGAAACTACCCTTGGAATATAGATGGAGACCTAATGAAAGAAGCATCAGAAGTTCATGTTCGGTAAGGTTCAAATCCCATTTGGGGACCGTATACCCATAACAGATTAGTGCTGCAGTCTCAGATGTGTTACAGCTCCACAGAGCACAGATGGTACCAGGGTTAGGTGCTCTGAATGCTCCTACATAGAACTGCTTGCACTGCAGGGTCTGGCTCTTCCACCATCATTTGGGCCTCTGCCTTAGATGCCTTGTGTTCATCTTTGGAAAGGTTTTTTATAACTCACACGGCCTTTCCATCCTGGTGCTTCATCAGCTTCCACTCTAGTTGTCTTCTTTTTTGTTACCTGATTACTTCTTGTTTCTTCTTTCCTGCTACTTTACCCTTCCATTTCTTAGAGATGTATATAATGTGTCTCCATGAGGAGCTCCTTTTGGGACAAGGATTCCTACTTGGAAAGCAGCATGTTAGGGTTAAGAAAAACATGTAGTTCTTCAGTTGTGAAAAATTTAATGCTGCTAGAGAATAGTCTCCATATCCAGCATCTAAGAATGAGACTACAAATACATAGGAAATTGGAGGATTATCAGTGGAATTAAGTGGGCAGTGGCTCATTTTTCTGCAATGCACACAGGATTAGTTGAAGGCACACAGCTCAGGATAAGTCTGGTATGTAAAATAAAAGGCAGATCATGTTGTAGGATATAGAATAGATTCTCCTAAAGATGATCCTATTGGAATTGTCAAAATGTAATTCACCCTGATTTATTTCCATATAAAAGCTTGTACATAATAATTCTCCTCACCAACCTCAAAAAGCAGCCCACCCATTGCAAGAGTTGATGTGATAAAGTTTGACTTCCTTGCTTCACAGGGTGCATCCTCAACTTATTGATCTTTATGGAGTGAACACTGATGACCTTGAGACTTCTCAAGTGACATGCAACTGCATATAGAAGGGACACATTGGAAATTCTGTAATATAGAATCCTGTTCTCACCCCTATGCACAACTTTCCAAGGTCTGGACTTGTACTGATGTCAGTTGTAGTAGAAGCTTAAAATTGGTAAGGGTTAGGATTTGTTCTAATTTTAGGTTTAAATTGATATTAAATTATATATTTTATCAGGGCAGAATCATACCTCTACTCACCAGCTCTAGCTAAAGAATAAAAAAATAAAAATGACAAAATAAAAATGTATGCATTTATTTTTTTAATAAAGTACTTCTATTTCTAGTTATGATTTTTAATGTTGCCTTAATATATTTGCTCTCAAAATGTTTCTAGTCAAATAATAGAAATGAATATGTTGATGTGCTGTTTGGCTTTCCTTTGTTAAAATGTATTTTAAAAACTGCTCTTTGTATAAAATTAATATTTTCTCTGTCTTAAAACTGAAACATTATTCAGCATAGTTTTTGTTGTTGCTGAGAATAAAGTTGTGATAAATAACTTAAGAGTTGACTTAAATTTTTATAATTTCCTTGTAAAACACAGTGTTGGAGTGGTTTTTTTTTTTTTTTTTTTTTTGGTAATTTACTTAATATTGAAGACAATTATTTCAGAGGACAGCAAATTAAGACTATTTTTTCTGGGAACTGCCTTCCTTTGAGATGAAAAGTAGCAACCATGTTTTTCTGTTTGCAGGACCATGGATAATGAATGTTTTCCTGCTCACTCCTCTGGGAGTCATTCAGGAGGCAGTGCACAAATGAAAGCTGCAGTGTCAGGGCACAAGTGAGTTGTTTAGGTGCTTTCTTCAGGAAGCAGTTGAGTGTAATGTGAAATCCAGTCTTTGTATGATGTTGCTAAATCAAGGGCTTAAGCCTTTGCAAGAGATCTATAGCTACTATGATTTTAAATAGTTGTAAAAATTCTTATCTCTGATAAATACACAGGACTGAGTACTGCAGAGAGGATTTGGCTCCTAAACCCAAGCAGTTGCCTGTTGTCCAAGTTACAGGGGAGCACTTTCCACTTAAAATTCATACTCTATCCCATCAAGTATTTTTAACATGCTAAGGCAATTCAAACTAAGCTTCTTTAAGTTGTTTAAAAAGGCATTCCAGCAACATTTAGTAGATTTAACTTATTTATTAAATGAAATTTAACAAAATAATTGAATTTGCAGAACAAACAACATTCATCTGTTTAACTTGCTTGGGCTTTTTTTAATAAAATGCAATTGAATAATACTTTATAATCTTGCCACCATCAGGACATAGTACATTCATTTTTTGTCAACCTGGTTTATAAAAGCTTCATAATTTTGCTTCATATCCTAAGAAAAGGCAGCCAACATATACATGTTAACAATCAAACCTGAATAAAAAGTGTACAATTTCCAAGGCATCATTATCACATGTACTGACTTATGTAAACTATTTCAAAGATAAATAAAATGCTTTGGTTTCACTTCCTTGCATTGTTTGTACTCAAAAAAAGAAAAGAATGCTTCTTCCAGTATTTGAGGTATATTTTTCACAGTATGCTGTAATGTCAAACTAATTTCTGTTCAAAGGTTTTTTTGGTTAAAGTGCAAAAATTCACAAAAGCCATTTGGAAGGTAAGCATTTTTTGGTAGTTTTCACACAGATTTGCAAGTATTTCATTCTTGACATACTTTATTTTGACTTTTTAAAAAAATATATGCACATTCATTTGTCCTTGCACCATAGGTATTAGAGGAAAACATACTTGGGAGTGATCCACATTTTTGGCATAAAATGAAGTGAAAAAAAGTTAAAAATGGTCCCAAATACCTTTGGAATCTGTGGGCAGCATAACTTTTATGGCACCAAGCACTCTAGTAGCAGAAGTGCTTGCTGAAGGCACTTGCTGTGGGTTTGAGTTTCAGGCCAGTTCCCATAGGATGGTGCAGCTCTGAAGCATTTGTACAGGTGACATTCCATTCCTGGTGCCGTTCAGAAGGACATCCAAGGCCCGGCCTCAGGGCTTACTCTGTCCTTCTGCTGTAATAAATTCACTTACTGAAGAAACTGAATGTTCTCCAGCTGTTCTGGGGAGCAGGGGAAGGTTTTTTTCCCTTGTGGCTTGTGCTGTTTCACCAAAGCTAGGTGGCAGTGCAAACTTAGCTAGCTGAGGAAACTTCTGGAGTAGCAGCAGTGGCTTGATCCATGTTTCTGTTCAGTCCTTTGCCTTTCTGCCAAGTGGCTGCTGAGGGTGCCTGTTTGGATGGTATTTATCTGACACCTTCCAAGAACCCAAGCTGGCTCTCCAAGTGACTTTCTTAAAAAGTACTTTAGAAAAAGTACTTAATCTAAAGATAAGATTTGGCCCATTATGGTTGGCAGTTGGAGTCTTTTGGGTATATGTGTCTGTTTTGTCAGCTGATGCCTGCTGTCTTTTTTTTCAGATTCTGGAAGAATGCCAGCACTAAATCCTATAATAAGTACTATAGAAAAATATTCAAATAAATAAAAATAAATACTTGCTTTAAAAAATCCCACATAGAAATAATTCATTGGAGAAGTCCAAAATCTTATGGCAGCACTGTCTGAGGAAAGGATGAAACAAGTAATTCTATCATGCTTGCAAGTACCATGTTATAGATGAATACAAATAATAATCTCCAATACATTAATCATTCTACAGCTGCATCTCCAGGCTACCCCACACAATTCCCTGCTCTGAATTCACCTTTGGCCTTCCAAGTTCTGACTTGCCTAGGTGTCTAAGTACCTTCAGTGATGTGGCTGTGGCTGTGAAGCCAAAGGTTACCTGCATAAGCCCAGAGCTTCTGAGAGTTGTTTTCTATGTCTGTGTGTTCTACTTACAGTCCTGTGGGTTTGAGACAATTTACTCTTCATAAAATGCCACACAAAGATGAGAAAGGATTTCTTCTTGAATGCCTGATCAAAATATTATTGAAACTTTAAAAATCATATAATAACTTGTGCTAATGAGTTTGAGATCTTATTTTCCAGGATTGGCCAAAAATTATTACTTTCTACAAATACTTGCTTTTGGTAAGTAATTCTTCTTCTCTTTATCTTTAGTGTCCTTCTGTCTGTTTGAAACCACATATCTATATATATATATATATATATATATATACACACACATATATATATATATACACACACACACATACATATATATATATATATATAATGTGGCATTTCAAATATTACTGGGAGACTTCAGAACAAACTGGTGTACCATTTTCATATTAGAACAGTACTGTAAGGTGTATCCTCCATACAGTTCAAGGAAATAAAGCATGTTTTGTAAGAGCAAGTAAGCTCAAGGCTTAGGTTTCTTGTTGCTGATGTTTCTCCTGTGAATTAATCTGAATTTCAATTTCTTCATTTTAAAATAAAATGTTTATTTTCCATCTTAGTCATTTTTGTTCCCACTTTTAAAACTCCAGCTGTCTCTTCTGTTTGTGTCTTGAGGGGCCGGTTTGTATTTCCTTTTGAAGAAGCCAATCTGAAATACATAATTTGGAATCTGTTGTCAGCAAATCTTTGTCATCAAATCTAAGCCATAAAAGATTAATTAAAATAAAAATGCCTATGCATGGAATTTATGAAGTCTGGTATTTGCCAGTGCTTCATCATACCAAGTAATTAATTATTACACATCAATCAAAAAAGTAGGTTTGCTTTTTCTTCTTTTAATTTTTGGGAGGCTAATACTCTCCTGTATGGAGTAAAGACTGGGGCTTGTGAACTTTAACAGTCCATAGAATCCACTGTTTTTAAAAATATGGTAATAAAATATTTCAGTTAAATTTAATTTCTACATGTCTGTGCAAAAATGATGTATGGAGAAAGTCTTGTTGTAGGTAAAGAAGTTAATCTCTTAATCATTTGTCAGAGGATCTGCATCCTTATTAGTTATCTCTTTTACTTAGGCACAGATTTTTTTTAGTATTTATGTTGCAATTTGAAATCTTAAACATTTTATACTGGTATGAAACCATGTTTTAAACTATCAGTCATCATGTGACAAGTGACATTAAATGTGGAGCACCATTGCACAGAAGTGATCCATTTGATATCATTAAAATATATAAATCATTTGCAAACATGAGATGCCATATAAAACATTGTAAAGTGATTTGATGTTGAGCAACAGAAAATGTAGAACATGCAGAAGATTAAATGAAATGAAAAAATGGAGAAATACTTTTGAAGAACCCCAAGTTACAGGAGCAATTATCTTTCTTTAGAAAGGATGGATCATAATAAAATGTTATTTATTCTTTAACCCACTTTAACCCAGATCCAAAAATCCTTCAACAGTATGAATTCCTGACTCAAAGTAACTAAGGAATACTAAAAACCTACCTTCCATAATATAAATGAAAGGACCAATAACAAGGTAACACCAACTATTAAGCCGAGGGAAATAATTAGCACAGTAACATGGTATTTTGGCTTTTGGTGGTGTACTCCTTCCAAATAGACCTGCAAAACAGAAAATAAGCTTAGTGCTAACTTTTGGTTTTTTTCCCCTAATAGATACTAAAAAACCTGGGAAAATTAATTAATTTTTAAAGTAATTAACACTATATTCATTGCTGATGTACAGGTATGTATAGAATTGTACAATATCAATTGCTGTTAGTTTTTCTACTTTAACATGTTCATCACAAATATATAAGAGAATTCTTACATATGCAACTTGCTTGTCCTTATGTAGTTCAATAACTTTTTCATTTTTTTCTAGCCAAACTGTTGCTCTTACTTCAAACTTCAATACTGATGCATCATCCTGATTAAAAAAAAAAAAAAAAAAATAAATCTATATTTAAAAAAATAACTTTAACACACTGATTCCTGCCCAGCAAAAAAATGATAACACAGCTGCTGACAGAACCAGAATCCCACACAAACACACAATGGTGTCTTTTTCTGAGCACAAAACAAATTAGTACCAGAAGCTGGAATTAAGCCAGGTTGGATTTTACTTAAGTCCACATCCATGCTGCTTTTCTTGGAAAAATACAATTACAAGTTGAAATTATATCTCCATCCTACTTAACCCAGCCAGAATAGGCAAAGCAATAAATACCATAAATAGAAAGCGACAAACTAAAATATGTATTTTTGTTTTTCATACATCACCTTGAGCCTTAGCATTGGCAATCTAAAATAGATTAAAACCTAAAAGATTTAGATTTAATCATGTTTGAATCATGTTTCACTGTTAGAAAACAAATACTAATACATTTAATTTATATGCAGGGAATACTGCAAATATGCCTTGAAATATTCCCCTCAAGTATGAAAAATTCATGTGTTACCATTTGTAAAAGTAAAGGAGTAGCCTCCAGATGCAAGTGAACAGTTGCTTCTTTTCCACTTTCCATGTTTCCCAGCTTGCAACGTATTTGTAAGCAAAGGCTGTCATTTTTCATGCAGTACTGTACAAGGGAGGGAAAGATTCAAATTTAATCTTAGCAACTATATAATCTTAGCATTAAAGAGAATAGGAACTGACTAAAACAAAAGGATTCATGTTTATTCTTGAAAACTCAGGTTATAACTTGAGGTTGTCATCCATCACTGTCATTCCAGAGGTGCTAAGGTACAGTAACAAGAGACCAACCTAATTGTATACAAAACACATGTAATTTTTATTAAAAATTCAATTATTTTAAGACTGAAAAAGAACAAGTGTCATTATTTGTTTATATATTTATGGTTTATTTTTACACTGTTATTTCAAATTAGCTTTTATCAATAATGATGAATGACAATAACTCTATGCTATCCAGTGCAAACAGTGTAATTGGTTGATCCTTACATTTGTACACTGACAACTAGCACCACTTCACATAGCTTTGGAGAAGACAAAAACACAAGGCTGTACATGATTATGTTTATTATATCTTTAACATTATTCTTTATCCAAGCCTACCATGCTGAATACTGGTTGGATATTCTAGTGCAGGTTGTATCTCAGTCATTGGCTGATATTTCCTGTAATGTGCTTACTTAAAAGTCCCAAGTTAACAGTTCTTAAAAATAGCTAGGGTTTTTTTGTTTGTTTTTTTGTTATTTTTTAAGATGACAGATTAAATAATGTTGTACTTTATCAAAGACAAGGTGTAGGAAACAGATTTCTATGAGGACAAAGTCTCAGCAATGCAATGCTGAAATAGCAGCTGTGGTTTGGACTGTGTAGTGGAGTGTCTGATCTCCAGCAGGGTCTGTGAGCAGGAACAGAGGGATGAGCCGGAACTGGCCATGCATGTATGGCACTCTCCCAGCCTCCCAAATATTTTTTAATAGCTTCCCAGCAAAATATGATTTCCACATATTTTGTAATTCTTGATTTCTATTAACTTGTATAGTCTTCCTTAGAATTCGGTTATTTTTAATATTCAGGGTTTTTTTTACCTAGATCCTGTTAGTTATGTTTGATGGCACTGTTTTGATGAGGAAAAGACAATAGTTGATCTGCATACTGCATATAATTAAAATAGAGCCTGTTTTTCCCTGATGCATCATTTTCTGTTTGTTACTGAATTTCCTCTGCTGTTCTGCTTGCCCACTCATTCAGTTCCATACCCCCTTGGCAGTTTTTTGTAGGTGCCTGTCATCCACCCTGACTTCAGGAATGTGTCATTAATCAACTTTATCCACTCAATTCTCACCCCTTTCACTAAAGACACTTATGACTACCCTGAACTTATCACAGATCCCACCACATATCCTTTGAAGATGGCTCTGTGACTTCATTATATAAGATACACTCTTTTCTTAAGGCTTATTCATACAGTCATGATGCCAAAAGACAGATCTTACCATGTGCCTCTTTGCAGGCTTTGAAAAGAAAGTGATGACATCCTTTAATATGTTTTCATTTCTTTCTGCTGCAGTACAGTCTCTGGGATACGTATTATAGGAGCAGTGTCCAGCTGTTGTCTGAAAATAAATATAACATCATTATTAAAAATATAAATTTTATTTCCAGAATTCTGAAACATGTGGGGCTGAAGATGATCCTGTTCTAGTTCACTCTGCTTCACCATGGCTAGCAAATCAAACATAGACCGAGTACTTAGCTGACTCTGTTCTGCTTTTCTTTTTCATAGAATTCATACAGCTACCAATACATTAAGTAGCCATTGCTTACCTTGATATCCAATGGGTTGAATAATTTGGAGTCCCTGGGTGGAAAAGCATTTGGTATCATTATCTCTAAGTTGGTATTTGGAGACATGCTTGGTCCTGCACTGATAACCTTGTGGGGAAGAGGTGAAGAGTTCAACAGTTAGAACTTCAAGGGTAGCTATTCAAGAAACAAAACCATACATATATAAATACAGAAAACTGCACAGAATGGGGTAGCAGCTGCTCTGTATGCTGTCACCAAAGTGGATTGTGCTAGGAGTGTTAACATCTTGTTCATTCATTCTGTGGGCTTGCTGAACCCTTCCCTCCTCCAAAGCTGATGACTAAGTAGTGCTAATCTGTGATGAGTACCTGAGGTCATGCAGACTGCCTGCCAGGAGAGTGTGCAAAAGGAACTAGGAGAGATTTATGTCCAAACTCCTGCTTTTAGTCCACTGCAGACAGATTTGATTCTATTGGTACTCTTACAAGAAGCTCCTAACTCCTTTTTCTTACTATAATTCCTTTTGAAGTGTTTCTGAAAGGAAGAAGTAGCCAGTCAGAACTGCTCTACCACTTTCAGTCCTGCTTGTGTTAGGAAATTTTTTTCTGATCATTCAGTGGAGAATTTGCCAGGCCAAAAAAAAAGTGTTCTAAGAGGGATTAACAGCAACTTCCCATCATTAATGCACAAAATGGTGCCCTTGTACTCTTAAAAGTTTCCTTACTGACTGTCTAGACTGTCATTAGATGCACTAAACATTAACCTTCAAAACAAGGGTGACAGGGTTTACAAAGGAAAACTCTTACATGGAAAGTGAAGTTGATATTTTCCTTCATACATGTCACTGGTGAATCTTTCTCTTCTGCTCCATAAACAAATGAAGTTGGTGACACAAACCTACAATGGTTTAGAAATTGTTAATAAACAGAATTCCTATATATCATTAACATAAGTTTCTGCTTCACATTACCTCCAGTAAGACTGGTTGTAAGAAAACATCCAAGTTTGCTTTTAAGTAAATCTAGGAACATAGAAATCATCTGCCTTTGGAATGGAAACCTTCTACATTTGTACTCTTTCCTTTGAAAAAGGCAGATCAGGAAAAAGTCATAAATATGCACCCAAAGCTATGCTCCATGAAGGCCCCACAACAAACCCAGAGCATGACTCATGTTAAGCAAGGAATCTGAGGATCTGCTATGCTCTTATTAAACACATATTTTTGTAAAAAATATTCCACTTTTTAAAACATGTTGGTCTGTTCAGAGACAAGGCTGAAGCACCAGAGATACCAATGGTCTCCTCTCACAGTAGTGGGAAAAAACTCTTACAAGTGTCTAAGAGCCCAGGACAGCTGTGCTCACTCAGTCCCAGGATTTTTTTAGCTACGTCACACTTCTGCTTAAAAACTTTGTGAATTTAGAATAGTAACAAGACAACAGTTCTGTGGATGTGCAGGTAATACCAACAGGTGACTCACCCATGAGTATTTAACTCAATCTCATATTTTAGAGGTATAGGTAATGTCAGCGTGTTATCCAGCAACATGCTCCCATCTTCATTTTTACTACAAAAATGCAAAGAGAGAAAAATCTGTATTGAAGGCACCATCATAAGTTATATACTATTTCTGTAAAAAATACTAAGCAGACCTTTCAGCTTATTAAAATAAAAATATTTAATTGGTAAGAACATGCCAGGCATTAATGCCCCCCACATTTTTTACATGCAAAAACCTAGTTATTATTTAAATATCTATTACATATTTTTGATAGTTTTTCTTCCTCTATTTGATTTGCAGCCAATTTACTTCCTTGCAATCCTGCTTTGCTAAGCCTTTCCAGCTATCTGTTTTCCAAAGCTAGTACTATTTTTCATTAAGCAATTTTTATTAGCCTTTACCAGGTAGCATTAATGATGATGTTGAGGTCCTCTTCTGCTCTGGTTAGTGAGCTTGCATCCAAGAGGAAACTATAATCCAGCTGTAGAACAAATAAAATTTTCCTTATATTAATTGATAGTGTATCTTGACACAGTTTCAATGCAAATATTTTATTAAGCTCATTTAGAATTTCCTTGCCCTAAAAAATTCAGAACTAAAGAAATACTTGCTTTTTGTATCTTCTAGTCCCTTTCTATTGACCTAACACATATGTCCATGGCATTAGTCAGCTCACTTGTCTAGAAGCCAAGCACAATCAGTCAATGCACAATACAAAGTTCCTTAATGAATTATTCCAGGGAGTGTTTAAGCAATTCATTTAAAAGTAGTAGGAGACATACAGATTATCTTACATGGTAAATTAGTTGGGAATGAAGAAGAGACCCAGAGATTTTTTTTCCCAACTATGAAAATCCTCATAACATATTTAAGGTGTTTCTAAAGCTAGGCACTTCATTTACAGCTTACCTTTGAGTTGTGATCCACATATAAATAGCCAACACTGCACTCAAGTGTCACTGCATTAATTTCTTTATCTAATACTGCACAATGTATCTGTTTTTCTTCCTAAAATAAAGGACAAGTTACTAATGATTAAAATAAAAAAGGTGTTTTTTTTCAGACATTTCAAATAAAATGCACACACTAAAAATGGATGCTTTATATTTTCCTGAACCAGGTGTTTGTTATTTCACTGCTGCCAATATCCAGTACGCCCATGATCACTTTAAATAACAGATTATATTGATTATTGTATCAGTTACTTCATCTGCTTCTTGCTTTTACTGAACCTAAGGCACATGCACCAGGATCCAAACCCACTATGCTAAAAGCCAACTCACAAAGGTGCATCTGGGGGATTCTACATGGAGAACAGTAATTTTAAAAAGCAGAAATTGAGCACAATTACAATATTTTTATGAGCTTGTATATTTGGGAAAAAGATTCAATGAGATCTTTGTGATCACTAAAAACATGATCATCAGCCAAAAACAAAAGCTGCAACATCCTGCAAATATTTTTTTTTATCATTTATTTTAGTTGTTACCGAAAATATATAAGTCATCTGTATTGATTAAATTGCACTTGATTTAGGTAGCTAAGAACTTTAGATTTAGAAGTCTAAGAATTTAAAAATTGATGTTTTGGCAGCTTTTGATTAAGGGGCATAGGTTCAGTCTCTAAAGAAATTTAACAATTCATAAACATAATTTGAAAAACACCAGGCTGAAAAAGAAAAATATCAAAGGATTACTGTTTGAGATTTTCTTTTCCTTACCAATTCTAAAACTCGAATGTAATAAAGACCTTTAGGGATCTGAACATGGAGGAGAGTTTCATATGCATCATCTCCAACATTAAGCAGAGAAATGTTCAACAATAAAGTCTTCATACTTCCAACACCAAGGTACGTTTTCTTATCATGAGGCCTATAAAATTAATGATCATAATATAAATTGAAAGTAATTTTAGAAACAGCCTGTAGGCAAAGCTGCCCTTTGTGGTAGTTTCAGTTGGTTCTGACAAAGCTCAGCTGGAGGTGTAAGGGAAGGTTTTCCTCAGTTCTGTAACTAAGGCATGAGACCAGTTATTGATGGTCACCCCTTAAAGACTGATGTGGTTAGTGAGAGAGCAAGGAAATTGTCATCAGTCCAGCTGTGCTTCTGCCTTTACAAGCACCAGTCCTTTCCTTCACAGGCCAGAACAGCAATGTATCACTGCTACAGTACTTTCAGACATTACTTCAACATTCACTCTGCACCACAGATGTGGGATTGGAGAGGGGCATAGTGAACACACTTCTCTTATGATCTATGTAATGTTCTATAATCATGTTACAAGTACAGACACCCTGTCAGGGGCTAAAAGTAAACTTCAGCTTGACATTAAAGTTTAATTAAGACTCGTAGAAAGGGTGCCTAGAAATAGACATTTATCAGATATTCTGGCTTGAAACCAAAGCATTAGTCACTGAACACCTTTGGGAAAGAAGCTGGCACTTATAAAAGCAACAGAAGGCAAAAGCACTGCATAAGCAGATAGGTTCCAAGACAAAAGCAAATTAAAGAAAAACACAATGTTAACATTTTGGTAGCTTGTCAAGTTTAGGTTAAATTGGAACGTTGTTTTAGCACTTATATAGCCACCACTCACTCCTCTTACCCACGTTAAAGCTAAGCTCATTAACAATATGCTGTCACAAAGATGCCTCCCAGCTTAACACACAAGCACACAAAAGCACCAGGTGCACATCTGGGACTACAACAGAGCTGAACTACAGCTTTTCCCTGGTAATCGTATTTCATTCTTCATTAAAAAATGCATGATGCAGACTAGAAACTTACAGAGCAGGCTAAAATCTAAGCAATTTAAACAAAACATGATAGTGTATACATGAAGACTTGTTACTCAGTAAATAAAGCATTACATCCCTATTTGATTTCATTCTTTTAAAACCAAAGGTGTTTCTTCTTCAAGGATAATGAATGCATTCTGTCAAGACAAAATAAATTATCACCTCACAGCTATCTAGTTTTTAATCGAGATTTTAGGGGCACAGGGTAATTTAAGGTGATACTTCACACTTTATCAAGATATTTAGACTATTTATTTACACTGCAAATCTGCTACTGCCTATGACATTAGGCACCAGTAGCAGATTTGCAGTGTAAATGTCATGTATGCTGTAATCTGTTTTTCTTTCTTAGAGCTTGGAAGTGCTTACAAAACTGCATTTCTAATGTCACAAATAAAAATGCTGCACAACCATTCTTTCTGAAAAGTTTTTGAGTCTTTAACTAAAATAACCATCCAGCCTAAGAAAATGAAAGGGCTTAAGACTAATGCTACAGGCCACAAGTCAAAGTGGGCAGAAAGATACTCATCTTACTCTGAAATCTATGAAGATGACAAAGTTTTTGCTCAGGATCACACAGGTGTGATTAATCTGCATTACATGTCTGTCAGCATCTTTTGATGACATTTTAGGTTGTTCAACCTAGTATTTTGATTTAAGAAGAATCAACTTTAAAAGTGATGAATGATACAAGAAAATCCAAGTTACATGTAAAATACCTAAATAGCTGAGATTCACAACAGGTACGTGTCCTCTTTTTGCTCACCTGTATTTCTTACTTTGAAGCAGAACAGTCAATAAAGAAAATGGTTGTGTTGATAAAATACAACTTAAAACAGTGAAGTGGCTCTTCTATTTAAGAGTATTATATCTTTAATTTTATACTCCTGATTGAGACTTCATACAGTGAAAGTACATTATATCCATAAAGAGCAGCAGGGAAAAACAATAGCTTGTCAATTTTAGAATTTTAGTTATGATGTCTGCATATTGAGTATGCATTGTGGAGTGTTATCTTATCCCAGTTATATATGAAGTGTAGAACACAAATTTATGTTTCTGTTAAGATGTATTTTATGAGCTGTAAAATCTTCTAATTATGCAATAACAGTTCTCCAATCATATAGATTTCTGTTACATTTCCTGAAGATTTATGATTTATAAATAGTCTTCAATTAAGCACAGCCTTACTTATTTTTTTTCAGGGAGTCCTGAGAATTTGCAAATTACTGTTATTTATATACAAAAGATTAAGGAATAATTTAAATAAAATCATATTAAATCTTGTCCAAAAAAAATGAAAGCTACATTCTACTTACTTTGGAAAAACAACTTTTCCAGAAACTCTCAAGTCAGCTGAACAATTTTCTTGGGAGCAAAATCTTGCAAAAATAAACTGTAAAAGCCAAATAAAAAGGCACTTCAGTGTCTTATGCTTCCAATAGTGAATAACAGTATTTCCAGAGAAAGTAACCCACCACCTAGTAACTAAGCACCAGGAAGTGTCCAATAGCTCTTACTGCTAGCATACAATTCTATCAGGCTATGATTTTTCCTTTTCCAAACACATTCTGCACATCCAGGATAACAGTGAGGCTTTCCAGACTCAGTCTGTCACAGTGAAACCTGTGGGTGTATGTTCAGACAATTTTTACAGCAGTACATCAGGAGTGCAGAACGTTTTAGAAGATCCAGAACTGATGTCTGTGCAGTCTCTCCTGTAATACAGCACATTAATTTTTGCAAGAGTTTAATTACACAGCCCTTACTTATCCTACTGTTAGAAAGGTTTGATGAGAGCAGAGACATCATGATTTGCAGGTGTCTGAGCCTTGGTTATCAGTGAGTTACAGGGCACATTTATGTCACTGTATTCAACATCACCCTCTTTCTTTCTTTCTCTAGAACTCTGAGGTTTCTGAAACAAAATTTGGAATGAAAATGAGAAATCAAAGCATGCCATTTAAAATAAGCTTTTACATATCTCAGGAGTTCTGATGGCCAACTGTACCTCAGCTACACAAACCAGAGAAAGTTGAGTTGGAAGGGACCCATCAGGATCACTGAGTCCAGCTCCTGGCCCTGCACAGGACATCCCCAAGAGTCACAGCCTGTGCCTGAGATCATTGTCCAAATACTTCTGGAACTCAGGCTTGGTGCTCTGACCACTTTTTTGGGAAGCTTATCATTGTGAAAAGTTAAAAATTCAGCACATTCTGACTTTCACTCAAGTCAAAGTCTCTTAATAAGTTCAGATTTTTTTGGAAGAAAGGTAGATTTCATAGTTACTAAAGGATAAAGAATATACTCTTTCTTTCCCCTCACAGACTTTGTATTTGGAAACCTGCAGTGCCTTTACAGAACTAATATTTCAGCAATATCAACACTTCAAGATTAGTACCATCATGATTTTATGTATTTAAAACAGAAATAATTTTAAAGTACAATTTTATATTGGAAAGTGACTCATATATTTTCATAGTGTAGTTGAATGGATATTTCAAAGAGTGAATTTCATATATGGGTTCTAAGATATATAGTACTATTTATGCTGGCAAGTTCTCTGCACATACCTTTTTAATTTTTATATCATAATACAGATTGTATACAAGTTCTGTAAAAAAAATTTAGCAAAAAATCAGGCTTTTTTTAGCATTATGGTTTATTAATTCATATCAAGACACAATCCTTAGGTGTAGGTCTGGAAAATGCATTCTTTCACAAGCTGTGACTCAGTGAAGCTTTTTATCTGGAGATTAAAACATGAATATTTACTCACTGCATTGGGAAAAAAGAGAACTGACACACTAACCTTGCTTTTTATAACATCTTTTTCTTTCCTGCGTTGAAGAACAGGCTGAAGAGGTGGAAATTCTTGAACATTTCTTTTCTGTAGGATATGATGCCCCAGCTGATAACTTGCTTCAACATGGACAGGAGTCAAGATATCCCTTACATCTTTCTATGAAAATTGGAAACCTAATGAGTTAATCATATAAGACAAAACATGTATGCTTATGTTTTAACGTTACAAGGTTGCCCAGAACTCACTAAAACAGTAAACTCACTAAAACTTCATGTAAACTAATTCCAGACATCTTTGTTGCTAAAGGAGGCAATCAGAAATGCATAAAGGCATAACAGATGCTCAATGACAGCACCAGCCATTTCAGAATGGATGATTCTTCCATGAGGAGAAATCTCACTGAATAGTGAGCTTACTTCTGTCAATAATCCTGCCTCACACACCTACGAAAGGCTGCACTGCCCAAGTAGGAAAATAGACAACGTTGGCTAAAATGAAGAAAGTTAACCAGTGGAATGAGGCCAGACAAACCCAATGGGTATTTACATATGAAATCAAAAGGAGTTCTCCCACAGTACAACTAAATCAAGTAGTGACTGCATTTTATTTTTCTGTCCCTTTATTTCCCATTCTGCATTAAAAAGATTGAACTACTCAATAAATGACTATTTTGTACATGAAGCCTTGCCTGTGTAGGAATGTTCAGATCATAGCCCAAACTACCTTCTTGTGAAAACTAAACAGCTTGAAGCATCAACAGTAACAAACCTGATTAAATTACTCCCTAAGTGTAGGGGGTAGACTGACACTGATTGTCCTTCCACATGGCCACTATTTTAATTCTTATTTGCAAGCTTGTGTTGGCCAAATCACATATTATCTAATTTGTAATAATTTTCCACAAGGTCTTCTCTGCATCTGCTTTATATTACTTCCATTATACTAATTAGCTATTAATTAGCCTTTACTCAAAATACATAAAATTTATATTGTCTCTTGCAAGGAGTGTACTTGACAGACATTCACACTTACTTAACTTCAGGAACTTCATACAAGTACAAAAACCTCAGTGGGTGGAAGGAGATGCTTATAACACTATTAATTAAGAATTGAAAAGAAAATTGAATTCTGTGGAGGAAAAAAAAACCCTAACGATGGATTATAGGAAGTGATGAGGCAAATCAATTCCTTCCTCCTACACAAATATCTGCTAATGCTGGTACAGCAATCTGTACAAGGTCAGCTGTCAATCACATCTCTCTTAGTTTACAAAATTATTAGAAAGTAAGTGGCAATTTGCCATTGCTCCTGCAAGCAACATTCACTTAGGTGCAACTATCAGTTGAGATGCATCTGGGAAATTTTCCAGTAGGTAACATAAGCTTTCCTTTCAGCCCTGAAGCTTTTATGATGAAGAACTGGCTTCTAATCATGTCACAAACAAAAAGTAAGGGAAACCAAGGAAGAAGAAAAATACTTTGAAGAATATTTCCCTGCAGGATTTTTTTGTAGCTGTAGAAAATAAAATTTATTTTCCAGCCTTTGTGCAAGATCAACTGCACAGTCACCTTGATGGATGTTTATTTCAAAAGGTCACAGAATTGCTACCTTGAGGATTTCAAAGAAAACACTAGGCAAACTGGTCCATTATTTTATTGACCTTATTGCCCCTTACATCTAAATATTATCTCTCTTCCCTCCTAGATAAGCTCTAACAGGAGAGAAGTCTATTTTTTGTGAGTTTAATAAAATGTGGTTCCTTTGTGTCCACTGATTTTTATTGTTTGTTGTGGTTTAGGACTTTCCAGTTTTTCCAAAATGTTTGTTTTGGAGGACAAGCTTCTAAAATTATGTGATGCAATTTTAAATAGAATAGGTTCTTTTGTAGCAGTCTGCTTTTCAAAGGAGAACAAATGATTTACAAAACAATACATACTGAAAACTAACTACATTACCCTCATAAATGCTGAATGATCTTTGCAGGCAGTAATGTTGCTGTAAATCTTTACTTTTCCTGAGATTGTATCATATGTTCCATTGGAGGAAAAATAAAATCTTGCTTGTGTATCCTCTTTTCTGTTCACATCAACACTCAGATTATAAAGCAGCACTACAAAATAAAACCCAGGGAAAATAAAGGTTATAAAATATTTAAGTGTTGCAATCTTAATGAATTTATGGTAGAAATTACCATTTCTGAGTCACTTCCATAAGTATATTCTGCAACATCCATTTTAAAATGCTCTGCTTAAAAACTCTGACATAAATCCATACTAAGAAAAACTTCCAGTACCCTGAAAATTGATTGCTTCATGGCTGTTCCCTGATACATGCATTTATATCAGGGATAGTTTATCATGTTGTATTTATATTTTCTACCAAAAATCCGTTTATAGAAAACCCACTTCAGTTAGTTAGAGGGCTGACAGTAACTTACAACAAACACTTAAGTCAATTAACACTGACAAATATTGTTTAACTTCACAGTTTTTTCTATGTAAGTAAGCATGAATTGCTATGATAACAAATTGTGAGCAAGTTTCAGAGCATAACAGATCTATTATTTCTAAAATTTTGCCAAGGGTTAGTTTATCTGCAATTTCTACTAGTACTTTTTTTAAATTAAGAAGTCTTATGTACAAATCCAGCAAGGGTGACCCAGTCTGATTGCTCAACTTTCAAAATGAATATGAGTTTCAAAAGATCTGATAAAGATCAAAAGACATACAACTTCACAGTTCATCACTGCATGTGTTCTCTGTAATACACTCCCAAAGGTTATTGTCTGTTCTCACACTGAAGAGTTGAGCAATTTGATTTTATATACCATGTACTTGCAGGGCTGTTTATAGTTTACAAATAGCACATGACAAATAGGCTAAAAGCACTCAGGCAATACAGTCAAATTTAGACAATAAGTGATATTAAATTAATTCACCATGAATAGATAGATACCACTTCTAGCAATACCAGTTTTTTGCCAAAAGCAAAATATGCATTATATAAAATACAGTACAAGATTTATTTTTCAGTCATTTTGGTGGGACTCCCTCTCTTTCACAAAATGCCCCACAATGGTAAGAGCAGCTGCTTGAGCTAGTTTGTGAAGGAATGTTTTTTCTCTATTGCTAAGTGGAAGGCAGCATCCTCCAGCAGTCCCATCTGGTTTGGTCCATGCCTGAGAAGATTGCTGTTAGAGGACATCTAAGGACATCTAAATATCACCCTTTTAATGCTTCTGTCTCTCCAAGTAACTCCAGGAGTTTTAGCAGGGATGTGCTGTTATTCCAAATTGAACAGAAGTGTAATGGCTTGATGTTAGAGGGTAATAATGATATAAAAAAGGTATCCATGTTTGCAGCTTTTCATTTTATACTGAAGTCAGATTAATGGTATATTAAATACCAGAAGCATTATTCTGTAAGTAGGTGCATTTGAAATGAATACGTATAGTGGATTATTTTTCCAGTAGCTTACCAATATAACCAGGTACCTCTCGTCCCCTATAGGTAAAGCATAACTTCAAATTCATACAGGTGGCAGGCTGCTCATTTTCCATGCAGTCCAAATTAGTTCGATTTATTGAATTAGAATGTTTTAAAGAAGCTTCAACAATTATCACTGGTTTTGTTCTAAGAATAGAAAAGAGTAACACGAATAATGTTCAGATAAAGCTTACAGAATCTGCAAAAACTAACCATCCCTGACAATCTATTTTTATATTTTAGAATTATAATTTTAAAGTTATCTGCATTTTTCAGATAGTTTCAAATAGTTGTACGCACATACTTTTTTACGTCAAAAAGTTACAAAACTATATTTTCGTTTTTTCAACATGTTTACTTAAATGTTTAATTTGTAGAGCCTTCTAGATTGAAGTTGAAGATATCAAGAATATAATGAGGTTAAATTAAACTGCTGAGACTTAATAAATTCCACTAAAAAATAGAGTTAAATTGTATAGTCTTCAGAAGTACTGAAACATGGCAATCTTACCTGAGCACCACTGCAGAATCAGAGAAAAATGCACCAACTGCTACATCTGCACAAAAAGAATGTATCAATAAGCATAATTTGTCAACAGGAATTACTTCCTAGGTACAAGCATTTTATAGCATATTCACCTTCTGGTGACTATTAAGACACCATTTGTCTTTTATTTAATAGAAGGGATATACGAGGATTCAAAGACAGTTCCTCAAACACTTGTGCACTGTCCATAAATGCTGCATGCTAATTTGCTGGACTTCCAGATATTGGTAATGTGATGATTTGATTTCTATTCCGTATTTAAGTGGTTGATACTGAAGGACAACTCAGCTAAGTAGGAGATATTTGCCTTTTTCTTCATCCAGATATTCAACATTGCTATACATGCACATACATACTAGTTTTTATATAGATAATTGATTTGCTTATGTCTATTATATGTATGAAATTATACATAGAGAGAAATAGAGAAATATTTCTTTTATTCCAAACAAACTGAAACCTATTCATGCAAGAAGGGAATACAGACAATAGATATACCTCTCCAATGAGGCAGCAAAAGTGAATTGTCAGATGAGGATGTGACTGCCAGATTAGTAACCAACAGCTGACCTGTGAGCAGACTACTTGCAACCTGCCTTTTAGGCCAGCATTACAAATTAACTTGGATAGCATTTCTGTGGGCAGAGCCAGAACACACAACATGGCAACTTTGTGCTTTTACATCCTCAAGAGCAGGACAGACATACTTGACCTAAGACTTATCTGGAAAATGTCAAAATGTTTGGATGGTATGTATAAAGCAATTACTATATTCTTGGCACCAAGTTAGCACTGCTTTGTCATGGCCACAAGAATTCCACAATGGTCTTAGCTCAAAGCCATGAGCCCTAAGTGAGGTTAAAGTATTGTTCAATCAGATTGAGAGTCAAGGAGCCCATGACTCGTGTCGAAATGCAGACTCTGGGAAGGCCAGCAATATATTTAGGTTAGCACACTAGTCTGGACAACAAACATGCTTTCAGTGCCCAAAGCAGCTCATTGTGACATTTGTAGATGAGACATCTGCTTTAAAGATATAAATCACATTTCTCTTCCCCTTGTGCACTATGATCTCACTATTACATTGTTCTCAGTCCTTAAATAATAGTTAGATGACCGTGAAAACTGACTGCCTGGCCTCAGTGTTACCTCTTCTTTTTTCTTCCCAAAATACGAGACGTGACATGTCATCTCAGTAACAGATTCTGCTTCTGTTAAAAGTATCAAGCAACACAGTAGGGTTGTTCCCTATGAATTTTTGTTCTTTTAAAAATTAAAAATAAACAAAGTTAATTTACCTTGATAGCCATTGTCATCTACATCAATGCCACTTGATATGGATTGTCCAAACATGCTTAGAGAATTACTGACTTCTTGTCCTTGTATTCTCTGAGGAGAAAAATGTAAAAGAGAAAATTATTCTTGCAAAGCTCATCTCCGAGTTACAATTTCCATTGAAAAATGCTAGCAGAACAATCCTGCTGCTGAACTAAAATCCCATAAACCATTTTAAAGCTCCCAAAACAATTTTTTTCTCTCTTATAGGTTATATTATGACTGGAAATCACAGACCACATAAAAATTTTCTGAAGTCTTTTCATGTAATTCAGATGGTCAGACCGTTAAATAAAGGGAAAACCCTCTCAGATTTAAACTTGGGGTTTTTCTGGATTGGATATTTTGCATTGAAAAAACATACCTGTGAAAATGATGGTGTTATTCCATCTTTCCTGCCATTGTATATATAAATAGCCCCTTTTTGATCTTCTTCTTGTGGAGCCCCAATTGCCACATCTGTGGAAAAACAATTTGGCCATGATCATTGACTAGGAAATATGACCACTGAACAGTTGAAGAAATGCAAATCTTGGTGCTTGCAATGCCAGACCAGATTTACTTGCCTTAATTCAAAGGCAATGTTGAACACAGATATAAAGCAAACAGAAACAGTATAGACCAGCTCAGTGATTCTACCTTAATTACTGTGTGAAAAGCAACAATCAAATATTGCCATTTTGATAAAGACAAAGTTTATTTCTAGCAATGCTAATTTCAACTCTTAAGAGGTTAAAAGGTTATCATGAAAGAAGGCAAAATTGTCTTTAAAAAATGAGGAAAAAACAAGCCTTGTATTTCTCAAACAGTGATGATTTTCCTGCTCTTTCCACATGGATTAAGTCACTGAAACACAAGTACTCTTGTTACAGTGCCCAAAATGAACCATTTATTTTTCTGTGAAATGTCCATAACAGTTAATAATATGCTTGGAAAGGCATTTAACAAGGAAATGAAAGTAGCTGGTTGGTACAAAGGGATATGTTTCATGTCTAGATGACCTAATCCCAGAGGGGTGTGGCAACTCATAACAAACTGAATTAATGTACCTACTCACTAGTGCACCCTCAACAGCCCTTACAAAAAACTCCCATGGTTCAAATAGCCAGAGGTTGTTAACCAAACAGTGAAGGGAGGGATGGGGAGATTATTTACACCATCTTGAAAGTCCCTATTAATAACTGGGAACTTCCATTTACAAATAAGCAAAAACTGAATTATCTGCAAATCAGAAATACTTTATGCTGCACTGAACCAAAATCACAAGAAACACAAAGCCTTTGACTGTTTGGTTTTACAGAGCAATTCTTTGATTGAATTCACGTTGACTGAATCCATATTGTGGTGACTAAGCCACAATAAAGCTCATCTCTCTACCGGTGAGATGAAATGGGGCAGTCAAGTTGTGCCTGTTAAAATTACACACACATTCTTGAGGTCAGATTCTACACCAACACACACACCATTATCTTTACAGGGCTGATACTGATGGTCTACATCATTGAAGAAGTTGGCTCTGCTCTGTTTTTTAATTAATACAGAAAATGCTTTGTATTACCCAATTTCTCTTTATATTTTGCTTCCAGCCTTTTTCTTACATTTTTTCCTATTGCCACCCTCCATATTACATCCACTTTTTATTTCAACATTACCACAGCAGTCTCTCAACATGAAGATTGTTTTCAAAATCCCCATGTATTTAGTATTTACTAGTGACAAAGAAGCAAATTTTGACTCAATTTTTTTATGATTGTTACATAATTGTCAAATTGTTCCCCAACCTTCATCTTAGATATTTAACACAGGATTAATGATTCCATTTGAGGTCCAGCACCAAAAGTTACAGATTATACTATCACTATGTTCATGCTCTTCATTAGACAGAAGCTAGTCCCTTGGTGTTAAATGGCAATGACTGTCAATGACTGTGAAGCAGCTGTATTTCAAGTCAGAGAAGAAAAGTCAAGTCCAAAACCAAAAGATTTCTCAGACTTCCATAATCATTCTGTTTGTCATGACATTCCACTGATCAGAGAGAATTAAACCCAACAGGTTTTCTTTGTATTCTTACCTTCAAAGCCATCATTATCTATGTCTCCTAGATTGGCTATGGACTCTCCAAACCTTGCTGCATATGAGTCACTCCCGCTGAGCTCTATGTTCAGCTCTACCATCTTTGCTTCCTGAAGGAAAACAGTCAATGGCACATTAATGGAATACTACTCAAAATGTTCAAAGTGCCTTAGATACCAATATATAACCCTACCAAACTCCTTGTAGAAGCAGGTATTTAGTGTAAGAATGGTAAAGTGATGACACTTTCACTTCTGAACCTTAGAAAGAATAGAAAGAAGCCTATTCTAATGCATGATCTGCCCAGTCATGTCGTTTGCAAAACTGAGGAGTACCAGTCTCTTTCCTAACTGGTACCAGTAACTGCATGCAAATTTTTCATTCCTTGTTTGCTTCTGAAGGGTTTGGTAAGTTGCTCTTCAGATGGCAGTTCAATAGGAAGCAGGAGTGGAGAAGAGTTTGGAAAGTGGCTGCAGTGGCAAGCTGTCACCACCTACAGCTCCTCGGAGAGGAACCCTGTCTCTCTGCAGTTCCAACCCTGGTGGGAGTAACTGTGCTTCAGCCAACACTGCAGCCTTTGGGGGTGTGCTGTGCACTCCTGCTGGGGCAGTCATCACAGCTCTACTGCTGCTTTTTCCATATCTGGAAATATGGGGTAAGAAGAGAGGAAAACTATTCCTCCTAGCCCATTAAACCAGAACGGCTGTGTTACCGTGTGTTTTTAAGAGAAAATACTTACAGAACCTGAATTAATATAGACATAAACTCTTCCCTCTTCTCTGATGGTACTTTGCATTGGAGCACCAACTAGTAAGTCCGAGAAGCCATCTGAATTCAGGTCCACAGCACAAACTGCAGCTCCAAAGTAAGAACCAAGCTGTGTGCAGACAAGAAATCATCATTATTTTTGAATTTTGATGAAGAAGCGCTAGGAGTTATAAGGTGCAGAAAAGTAATATGATAGATTTACCTTTTTACCTCTTAGTTCAAATAGAATATTTAGTTGCTCCCCATTGCTAAAAATATATGCCTAAAAGGAAAATACAAATGGAATTCAGCAAACTGTAATCTGAAACACTTCCCAGTGCTTTCTCTACAGCATGTGCTAAAGAATCAGCAAAACAACGCACAACATCACAAAGTACAGCTATCTCCTGCACCTACCTGCATCTTCCTTGGACATCATACCGCACATCAATGTTATCCCGAGTGCCTACCCTAATTCCTTATTCAGCTTTTCCCCCCCTGAGAAGTCATATCTGATACTTGTCTTTAATATATTAATCTAAATTGGAAGATCATGTGTTTTTGTGAGGTTATAGTCTTTAAGCCAATATTATAGACAATTCCTTACTTTACCAGTCTGCTCCTGCTGGGGAGCCCCTCCAATTACTTCTGTACTGGATGGTGATAGAAAATGTCCAGCTCCAACAGAATATCCTGCAAATCAGAAACGCACTACTCAATACTGGAAATGCTATGTAACAAAGAAAGAATGGGAGCACACCTTATAAAAACAGTCAACACCATAAATTATCATGAGTCTGACATTCAGACCTCATGCAAGTTAGCAGTGAAAACAATAGAAACTTACTCCAGACAGTAAGTTCCATCAAGCAGGAAAAAGTGTCAGAAACACTCATTTCTTCTCAAGAACTCAATTATATGCCATATTTCAAAAGACAACATAAATTGCAAACACCTTCCATTAATGCATATTCTGCAATTGTTCAGTAAGTCCCTACTATTAATACAAAGGAAAATTATCCAAGTACCGGAATGTGGAAATAATTGATTCAACTGTTACTCTTTGACTATTATAACTGGATTAAAGAAAAATTAAATGTAGTGCTACTTCTATGTGCACATACACACGCAGAGCACCATGGACACACGCATGAAAATGTTGGGAACAAATTGCAAAGCCTCATTATGCAATAAGAAAACATTACATCAGCTTTTGTAAATAAATCTACATCACAAAGCATTTCTGTACGTGGAGAGAGATCACAAACAGGACCACATTTTGGTGCAGACATCCAGACACAGAACTGCAAAACAAAGGCTAACACCTTAACTTGTAGCTACACAAGTCATCCTTACTCTTTCCAGAATACATTACAGCTCAGTTGAAACAGGGAAGACAGAGAACTTATTCCACTACTCTTGCATTTGCTGAATGACTGCCGATGTTCACAGCACAGAGAGAAAAAAGAAAAATCATCTTGGACAGATGAGAACAAACTTTGAATCTTTCATCTGTGAAGGTAACTGCCTAGAATTCAAGTTCTCACTAAGTCACCTTTTTCTTTTCCTATTTCAAGCTAAAAGAGGTAACAGAGTAATTTATCATTTGAAGGTCAACACCTAGTTTTTATTTACTCAACAAAAGATTAAGGATGCACCTCAATTTACCTCCTCTGACACTTACTTTCTAGTTATTTTTTTTTACTAAAGTAAAAACACTGCTAATTCTTAAGGACTTCTAAAAAAAGTCAAGCATACACAAAAATTACAGTAATCACATAAAAACCTCATTTTTCTCTAATGGTATTAAAATATTTGGCAGGGGAAGGGGAAATCACAAAACTGATGCTTTGAATTTAAAGGCATAGAGAAATGAAATTTTATTTCCAACTTCATTGTTTTCTCCTTTTTATCATCACTACAGTTTTTCAGTTTTCTGAAATGTTACTTGCCCTTCTCAGATTTCTAAAAGAAACTGTCTTCTACTTTATGATTTGTTTAAGGCAGTTAAAGTGACTACGGTTACTTTTTCATCAGGGCCAGCTGATTTGAAAGACTGAATAACTTTTAAAATTCCTTTTATAGAAGCCAGCTACTACTCTCCAAGAGACTCTGAAGTAGTCAAGAAAATATTACCTACTATTATGTATTACAAACATCCAATTTCTTTCTTTCTTTCAGTTGTCTGGTATATGAACACCTTTGTTTCTTCCAACTTATGGAAAATGCTACAATACTACTGCACTTCCTATAGTCTCTAGTTTCTTCATTATTATTCTTTAACAGTTTAATGAAAGACATAAATAAAGATACCAATGTCTTGCTCCCTACCAGTGCAAGAGCAGAGTAAGTAGATAGTAGAGGAACAGAGTAAGTATTCACATGCTTGAATTACACTCTGGTCACAATACACTTCCACCACTTGGTAGGGATAATTTTATTCATTACTTAAGGGAGCAACAAGCTCAGATGTCTCAAAAAAATAATTTGGTAGTAGAATTAACAAGGAACAGATTTTTGTCTTCAATAATTACAAAGATGGGACAGATGCTGAGGGAGGGAAGGAAGATACCTTTAAATCCGTTCAACCATACTATGGGGTTTCAACCACATTATGAGGGAAAGGAGCAGAGGTTAAAGTAGCATGAAATTGCAAAATTCCTGGTTTATCACAGCTGCTACTGTAAAGACATACAGATGAGTTAATGGTGCCCTTCTTCACTTTCCTGTAGAAGGGCAAGTTCAGAAGACACATGGCTCTGCTGAGCCAACATGCACCAGATCACTAGAGTGAAACAAACTCCAGCTGATTTCAGGTTCTGGATGGTTTTTATCCATTTGCCTGGACCTGATTTCTGGCTGTCAATAATTTGACTCATTTATTACAGAAATTCTCATTCTTATACTCGTAGAATCAGAAATCTGGAATTAACTTTTTTTGTCTAGACAGGTACAGTATTTTTTTCTGCTGATTACTATAGGAAAGCTAGAGCTTTGCTTTCTTTGAAGCTCTTATTTTGTCCTGTGAAAGGTTAGAAGTTCTACTGGCTGACCCTAGGGATCTGGGTGTCTGATCCCCTTTTACCAGACAGTCTCTCTTCTGCTTGACTTTCCCACAGAGTCGCTGTGGCCTTTGCAGAACTGAATTCTGAAGTTTTAGTTCACTGTGTTTCACAATAGCTATTTCATAATGTGACAGCTTCCTATTGTCAGAGGAGTGGAATCAGAAACAGGAAATGTTTATCCACGTGAACCGGAGCTTTGAAAGGGAAAATGCCAAAACCAATGGTCACAAGCAAAAATATTCTTGCTTAGGAGTCCAGGAAGGACAGATGAGCTGTTCTCAGTGTAGTGAGAACATTGAAGTTGCTGTTGTTTTTTTAGCATAAACCTTTCCAAACTGTAGCACTAAATTCAGCTAGTTACTTGGCTATGGGTACATGAGTAGAACTTCATGGCTTTGGTTACAGACATGATGTTTGCCTTCTCAGTCAGATACCCAGACTAAGATATGTTTGGAATAAAGAAGAAAAAAGATAACCATCGGAGGAAAGTTTGTTTCTAAAGGTCATAGCATACGTCCCCTTATTGACAATACAATTAAGAATTGCTTGCTTGCAGCTTTCATGTAAAAATCTTTTCATATTCCTGTTATATGTGAAACCACTGTCCTTCCATGAAAAAAGAAATTCTTGGCAGCATTTCAAACTTGACTGAAATGAAAATCATTACTAATCAGAAGGATCCATACCCTTCTAAATCAAGAAATGGTTAAAAGTCAGTGGTGAGATGATAAGAATAGAAATTCACTGTTCGAGAAGTTTCCTCATAAAAAGAACAGAGGGGAAGCCTTATCACTATATAATATTTAACAAAATCAGAACACATCTTTAGAACTGTTGCTTCTGAGGTTAATAGTGAAAACAATGAAAAACACTGTGCACTCCCCCCAAGACCAGCTATTTAGCTTATATTTTAGTAAAGTGTTAAATGTTTTAAGTACCTAGATAACTGCCATATTTCACTTCGTTTTTTGAATCTGTGTAATAGTGGATTGTATTTGCAGTTGTATTGTATACAAAAACAGAACCAGTCCAATAGAATGATCCAGGGGCTCCCATTACAATTAAATCCTAAAAGAAAGTAAAAAAACACAGCCATGTTATTCACATTGAAATATTCACGAAAATAAGCAAAGTAAGTAAAATGGTCTTTAGATCTCCTGTGAATTCTATGAAATGCTACTGGAAATGCATCTGGCTCAGCACTGGGGTTTAATACTAAATGACAGAAAATATTCTCCAGACTTCATAAAAATACCATTATTAAAAGCTTTAAACTGTCACAAAAAACTACAGCAGGAATCAAGATATTCTCTTCTCAAAAGAGTTTTTTGGAAATTACATTTTAAGGGTGGAATGGAGATTAAATAATATAGAATATTACTCTGTAAAGCAAGACGGTAAGCAATATAAATGTTACATCAAATAGATTGAAGAGAATAATAAAATTTCACCCTCTGCTACAGCCATGGCCTTTTTCCAGATGAAAAATAAATTTGGATTTAGTAAGGTGTAAAAGTATTCTTGGGAATAAAAATTAAAGTCTTACTTGGGAATTATCATGCAAGTCCTAGCAAGATTCAATTAAAAATAAATTAAAGAGTTATTTTTCCCACCTACAATAAAATACAGCATTGATGTTTGCATTTGCATATCCACTTTTAGATATTATACATAAAAGTAAGTATATAAACAGAGACACTTGGTATTTTTAATACACACCTTAATGTAAAAACTAGACATTCCAGCTTGGCATGACCCATGGCTTTCTCCAAACTTTCGTGCATGATCTGGGAATGGGCAATAAATATTAAAAAGAATGAGAAGCACATAGTTCCAGCATTTTGTCACCAGGCTTTCAACAGAAGCTGAGACAACTTAGGAAAAAAACCAAAACAGCACATCCCCCAGAAAGTTGGTTTTCAGTTCTGTAAGAAAACTAAAAACACTGGTTTCCACTATGTAGTCTTTAGGTGCAATACAGTGTTGTAACAAACTCAAAACACTATGTATCACTTGATCACGCCTGCCTTTGAAATATTCTGACTTTAAAAGCTATACTTTCAAAATGGTTCTACAAACAAAACAGCCAAATAGCTTGAACACCACATGTGGATACTCTTCCACTCCATCCTTTGGGCATACTCTGACAGGCTTATGTATCTTGACTGAACTTGCCCTGTGCTCCACTGGTGCCATGAAGGGTTTGTGTTGTGGCAGTCTTAGATATACTGCTTTCATCCTAGCAATCCAACACAGTCCCAGCTGTGTTTTCCTGCAATTCTTTGCTGACTGCCTGCCATCAGGGTTCCCTTCATTCCATACATAGATTTGTACACTTAAAGTCTCCAAAGATAAAAAACATGATTTCACCACCCCTTGTAACAGTCTCCAAAGCCAGTAGTGGGACATTTGATAGCATTATTCTGTCTGCCCAGAAAGATAAGATTGTCAGCTGATCCTTGCATTGGCAAGGCACAGGGACATGAGATCATTTTCCTGGGTGGGTGGTAGATAAGAATGGGAAAGCATGAATGGAATAATTTGATAGATTCAAGTCTTGACTCTTACTGTGCTCCTGAAGTTCTCTGAGGAAGAACCCCTGAAGGTCTCATGCTACAGCAGCAGCCTTGGCAGAAGGCAAGGACAAGGCCATGCACTGTCAACCTTTGTATCAAAGGCTAAGGAGCAGATGGCAACAATCACTTGCAGGTATTTCTGCTGCTCTGCTGTGAGACTCTCTAGAGCAATGACAAGAATAAAGGAAGGAAAGATGTCCTCTACTGGCCTGGTTTTGAGGAGCACATATCCTTCAGCAATGCAGTTAGGGAAAAAACTACTCTGATGCCCTGTTACAATTATATTTCTTGCCTTTTGAAAGCAGGTTTTCTTTGAAGTGATAAACATCTTTGCATCACAAACTGGGCTCATATCATCAGCACTCACCCTCCAAACCTTTGGCTGCAGAACACCTACTCAGAACACATGACAAGCTTTTCATAAACTCTGCACCATTCAATTGTGTAGCTCACCCTTCCCTACAAAAGGACTCAAGCCTTTTGCTTACCTATATAGCATGGGCATATTCTTCTGCTCAGCTCAGTTCGAAAATCAGGAGGGATGGCAAAACAAATACCATGTGGCAGTTTGTGCTCATTTTTGACGTAAAACACATTTTTCCATCTATGTCCACAAGCCTGTGGATATAAAACAAACACAGCATTTGACACGGAAGTCTAAGAAAGCTGGCTGCAGTCTGACACACAGGCCCAGTGGTTAATACATACAATGATAGATCCGCCCTCCTTTGGTTGCCTCGACAAGCTGACACCCAGCCACTGATTATCCCGCTCCTCCAAACACGTCTTCCCACAGCGCTCGCCACTGGGATGGCCTAGGAGACAAAGACCAGTGCTCTGAACAGAGGGACAAGGTGAAGAACATCATGGTGGGTAAGAGGAGCACCCAAGAACTCTGCGGGGACAATTCAGCAATTTGGGTGTGGTGGATCTGACCTCTGTCTCACACAGGTCATGTAGGCTTTTTTACTTTCTTCTTGTGCAAAGAAGATTGTGGGTAGCTAAAGGGAATATACTGGTTCTGAACACGACAGGCCAGCAGTGAGGATGGACTTCTCCATCATTACTCAGATAGGAAGTGACATTATACTCAATTCTGGGGAAGGGCTGTCCCTGTAAGTGCTCTTCAGCCTAAATGTAAGAAACACAACTAATACCTGTGAGTGCCACCAAAAGTCTAGCCCAAAGTAAACATCTCTCCAACTATGTGTCTATTGGTAGCAGAACTTAAAACAATCTCTACTGCAAATAGCAATCAAATGAAGGTTGTGTAACTGCCACCACTACTGGAGATGGCAGATCATTACCTATGCGTGTCCTGCATGCTTCTTTCATTGTTGCAATTATTCACTAACAGATCTTAGTGGTAGTTCTTAATAGAGTTCTTTCTTAAAACTTTGAGAAAACACACTGAAATGTCTTCTAACTGTCCCACAGCCCAAAAGGCTACAGTATTGCCAAGATAGCAAACATTTTCTTTCTTCTGGAAAGTAGTAGAGATCCCCACAGTAAGGAGAAGCTACACATTTATTCTAAGTTATATAAAGGAAGTTTTTAATTTTTAAGATGTTTGTATGAATAAGCATTAATCAAATTGTTGAATCACTATTTTCTATGCATCAGCATGATAGTTTATGAAAAAAACTTCTTATAAAATAAGGAAACACACTAGGTCATTTGAACAAACTCTTTTGCATAATTTTAAAAACTTTCTCAGATTGAATACAGCTACAGGTGAGCACAAAATGTTTGAGGTTTAAGGGTTAGTTTAGTTACCCAGAAGAGGATGACAGTACAAACTAATGCTGATGGGGTATTTTTTGCATGGAAAAAAGCCCCATAAATCACACCCCACACCTTCTCACCCCTCGCCCCACCAAAAAGCCTGCAAAAATTAACCCACCAAACAAAACACCTGTGCTGAGAGCAGAACTGGCATTTATTACTGTCCAGTGCATTAGAGAGTTTAAATGAATACATAGATTTTCCTATCAGCCAATATAAGAGAAGTGAACGTCCGTGTACTGAATATATACTGCTTTTCAGAAACAAGTGTGGAATTTAGTTTCAGAACTGAATTTTTGAGTAATGTAATGGAAAACTTCTCACTTCCTAAGGGAGACATTTCCATGGTTTACATGAATTATAGAGCATATTAATCTGATTGAAATCTCCCCAGAAAAGAAAACTCCAATTCACTCCAATAAGTAAGAATTAGTCCTCCTTTAAATTGCACAAGGCACTTCTGGTAAATCCCTTCTAGCAATGCATTCCATCCTCTTCTAACAATGACTTACCTGGGACTTGCTTGTATGTGGATTTGCAGGAAATGGAAGAAGTAGAGAAGACCAGGGCAAAAAATTTAGACCCCAAGAGACTGAGAGTTTTTATCAGTAAATCAAATAAAACCAGACAATGATGATGTGAGAGATGAGTAAGTTCAGCCTGTCTCAGTGTTTCCTTCCTGTGCCTCTTTCAGAGGTTTGTAACAAGAAAAAGCACCACCATTCCTCAACACTCATTGGACTGCATTCCCCTTTTCCTTTGCTCCAGTATATATTGATTCAGGATTATTCTGGCCCTCTGCTGACATGCTGCCTTATGTTTCCTCTCTTTTTCTGACTGGCAAGTATTCAACCACCTTGAAAGTACACACTTTTGTGGGAGAGAGAAGCAAGAACTTGACATCCAGACACACTGATGAGTCCCTGATCAGGGTATGACATTATAAAAGCTTTATCAAATGAGAAAATGCAGTATTATACACAAGCAACAGAGCAGCACTGCATAAGCTCAAGAGGACACGGCAGCTTGGTTGCCTCAGGGAAAAGGAGCACGTGCTTATCACAAAGTCACTGAGAAATAAGTAATTGCCCATGCCTGTGTACATTACACAGCTGGAAGATACACTTCTGCTATAATCCCCTCTGAACAGATCCACAGAAACAATGCAACCACAGAAAATATAGTCATAACTTATAAAGCCACTTCTGGGTTTGGCCTCAAGGATCACAATACAGATGTTTGAAATGTCATCTGAGAAACCAGTTGTATATAACTTGCTCCAGTGTTTTCCATGCCCAACAGCCTCTCATCACCCATTTTATCCTCCCATAACTCCTCTGGTCCTATTGCTAACTGATGAAAATGATGAAGTCTGCTGCAAAGGCAATAAGCTTTCTGACATCTCCTGCTCCTAGGTGTCAGGGCCTCAAAGTCTATTTTTACTCACCCAGGAAGTATTTTCTGTTTTCACAGACATGAAAATGACTTCAAATATCAGACATATTTCAAATGACTTCAACCTCAAATATTTTAAATGATACCTGTTTCCATCCTTGTGTAACAGACCTAGGTCCAGAAGATCCCATGTTCCTTGGAATAAATAGTATGGCTATTTGAAAGAGGTCACTTGCAATGTATGAGCAGTGCAAGCAACATTAAAAAGCCACACTACCAAAACTCAAAGTTACTGAAATCAAAGTTGAACAGACACAGCTCTGTCTTTGGGGAAAACCATTAACTGTTCACTTTTCCATTGTAACGATTCAGCTGGGGGAGCTAGAGGGCAATTTGTTCACAGGTTAATTGTAGCAGAGACTTAAAGGAAGGGAGCAAGACTGAAACAGCAGGCAGTTTTCTGGCCTTATGTAAAACAGTACACACTGAATTTACTGCATTCATTTGTGACTAAAACTAATATTTTCTTTAGACTTGATGGCAAATTGCACAAATTATTTCCTATATACTTTAACCAGTCAATCACCGTTTCAAATCAGACAGCAGTGCTATTGAAGAATTTCTGTAATATTTTATATGTCCAAAATTCAATAGGTCAAAACATAAGGAACTTTGTGTAAATTCCTCTGCATTAATCTGTGAGTACCCCTAACTGATGCGAGCAAGGATTTGACACTCAAGACGAGAAGATGGACACTTAGTGCTTCGACCTGAAGCACTGTATTTTGTACTTGTGCCTGAAGTTTGATTACAAGCCTCTGCATCTAACATAAGCCATTATTTAAAAATACTCCAAATACAAATTAATCTGCAGTCTAGAACACTTGACACCTTAAACAGAAGTACTAGTACTCAGAAAGAGACTGAAAACTCTTCTGTTCATCTATCAGAGAGAGATTTAAAAGTGCCAATGAGGGGCTAGGAAAACAGAGACTTGCTAGCATATCTCATTACTTTTTTCAGTTCTTAAACCGGCCCAGGGGCTGCAACATCTTGAAGAACAATAACATTCTTTAAAGTATGTCTGGATGAGTTATCCCAGATGCTGTGATGACTGCAGCATAAGACTGCTCCCAGCAGCTCTTTTACTACTGAAGAAGCAGATAGGAACTTGTGACACATAAAAAGACAACAGCAGTTTTGTGTGATCAGAGGCTTCCTAATTGTTCATGAATCCTTCATTAATTAGTTATGCCAGTTTCAAGGCTACTTTAGTGAAAAGGAGCGACAAAGTATTTTAACATATTTGTATCTCTAAGTAATTCACACCCATTTTTTACAGTGCCCCCACATTTGGAAAGCCACATCTATTGCCTGTTATCACCTATACTTTTTCATGACTTATAATTAGAAAGTTACCACCTCAAAGATGTTTTTACCAGAACAAAATGCGAGTTCAACTATTTAAGAGCAAGATAGCAACACTTATTTCTCATTGTGCCTGTTCAGCAGTGCAATATATTGCCACACATTTTTCTAAGGAAATTCCCTATTCTATGAGATCAGAACCCAAACTTGAATGAGTTAGATGAGAGTTAATTAAGTTCAGCTTTGTAATTCCAAGTTCCCCTGCATATTTCTCTGACCTCAGATACTATACCACTTCATTCACATCCCATGGACTACAGCTGCCTTTGGCTTCTTCATTGACCTCAATGACCTGTTTTACAATACAGCACTTCTTTTCAGCTTCTATTTAACTTCAGAAATACTACAGGCAAACCTTAGTGATGCAAAGATGTCATCTAGCAGTAATGGAAACCTAGTTTGCAAAAATATCATGTGGTATAACTGTTGTTTTAAAAAGTATGTTGTGCAACCTGCAGCCTTTAATTCTGGGAATAGAGGCCATGTTAAGCTAAGCCTTTGGAACCACATAAACTTTTTCATATACCTGTTGCCTCATTTCAATTAGAATCCCTTACACTATTGAAGGAAATCCCATCATATTATTTCTTTAGAGATTTTGTTTCTCCATTGGCTAAATGAGCAAACTGAGAGCCACTGCAGATGTTTGTAGGTTTCAAAGAACCTGAAACTTTCAACCCTTCTTTTATTTCCCCCACACAGTAAAGGACTATTTTTATTGACTTTTAGCATATGTTACTTCACCATTTTAGTTGACCTCTTAGACTTTTTGCAAGCCTCCTCATAATAAACAGGCAGTCAGAAAAAAAAAAATCTCTTTGTTATGTTTAACTTTTAAACGGCTATAGTACCGGAATGAAATTAATCAACAAAACTCCGAAAAACTACTTGGCCTGGTATAAATTTAATTTCCATTCTTTCTAGCAACAACTGCTTGTCTATTTCTTATAGGACTACATAAAAAACACCACTGAAGTACCCTAGGTTTTGTAGACCAGTTACAAAATGAAACTCTTATATTGATTTGTAGCCAAAAAAAAAAAAAAAAAGAAAGGCTAGAACCTGTCAGTTCTAAGTATTATGCACAGACATGTAGAAAAATAATTGGTTTAGTATTTTTTTGGTTACAGAACGCTGAGCTCCACCCTGACAGCCACCAGTTCATGGTGTGCTACTGCTTTCAAATATTTTGATAGCCTTTTTCCCGCGCTGCTTCTTACTGGGCGATGTGCTCATAACGGATGGGATACTCTTGGTCGGAGGGTGACTGAGTACAAGTGGAGGAGGATTCTCTCATAGCACACAAGTAGCGTGAACAGCACTGTATGCAAGTGGGACAGGAAGAGAAACCAAAGTAATTCACACGTGTTCATGGCAACCCAGTGCAAAGCCTTCCCCTTTTTAACAAGTATCAAACGCTTGAAAGTTGAGTAAGTGCAGCCAGTTACATCTCCTAAGTATAGAGACTGTGGAGATAGAGAGAACTGAAGTTAAATGAATAATGAATAACTGTTCAGCTGAAACTCCAATAAATCTGCAAGCAGGGAGAACCTATCAGCAAGACAACTGTGGTTCAAAGTTACTTCAGGGTGACTTCTACAAAGAGAATGCTTTGCAGGAGAAAACAGGATTTAGGCACATACTTCCACCCTCCCATCCCTGCGCTTATTACAATCACCCGCTGCCCTGAAAGCTACACCAGCTCTTCTCCGCAGAGCAGGCTCAGACCGAAACTTTCATGGGGCTTTTGACTCGGAGGCTGAAAGGTGCGAAACGGCTGCAGGAACGGTATCTGTCACACCTAACTTCTCCAAATTAAGTTTTGGTGCCTGTTATCTCTCTTGATGCCGCCGCTGCAGTCCTTGGGCGATAGCGCTGATCTGGCCCTTGGGCGAGAAGCAGAGCGCTCCGCAGTTTAAGCCGGAAGGGCCCAGCACGCCCCGCACGGCAGCGGAGCGGAGCCGCGGTGCGCGCACGGCGGAGGGCACGGACCGTCCGGCCCCGGCCGCCGCCCACGTCCCGCCGCCGACTCACCCAGCTGGAGCTGCTCGCACCCTCCGCTGGAGTTCCCCCCGATCCGGCACCGGAATACGTCCCCGGGGCTGAGCACCGACTCGTTGGCGGGCCAGCTGGCCCGGGGCGCGCCCGCCACCAGCCTGCGGGGCAGAGACGGCAGCGTGAGGAGCCGTGGCCAGGACCAGGCGCGACGGGCCCCCGCGGGGGCGGCCGGGCCGGGGACTCACCATCGCTCCTCGCCGTGGCGGTGCAGGAGAACAGAGTACCCGAAGAAGGTCCCGTTGCTCCCGCGGAAGAGCAGCGCGTGCTGCGTGTCCAGGTTGTAGGGCCGCGCCGTCGGCAGGCACTGCCACAGCAGGAGCAGCGGGGCGGCCCAGCCCGCGGCGCCCCGCGCCCTCCCGCAGCTCCGCATGGCTCCGCCGGCCGGCAGCGCTCCGACGCCGGCTTCCCCCCTCTCCGCTCGGCGAGAGGGCAGCGCCGCGCCCCGCCCCGCCCTGCCCCGCCCTGGGGCGCCCTCTCCGCAGCGCGGGCTGGGGGTGTCCCGCGGACGGGGCAGTCGCACGGCCCCGCCGCCGCCTCCTCCCGCGCGGTCGCAGCCCCTCTCCCTGCCCAGGCGGCGGGGGTCGGGTTTCTCTCCGCCCCGTCCGCGCCCACGGGGACGCTGCGGAAGGGACACGGCCCCCGCGTCCCCGGGCACTGCCCCCGTGGGACGCGGCTATCCAGGCACCGGCGGAGCAGAGAGGGCCGCGTCCCCATCTCTTCGCCTCGACACCCTTGCCCGGCCCAGCCCGCAAAGGGGGAAGGAGTTACTGGAAACTTATCCTAAAATCTCCCGCCGAGCAGCGGGCGGGCGGCTCAAGTGCAGAACCGTGTTCTGAGAAAGGAAGCGTGGAGAAGATTTGAGTTTTCTGTTTAGATTTAAGAAGAAACCCAGTACCCCTGTGTTGAAAGCCTTCCACGCAGTCGCTGTGCTGAGGGAGCCTTGCCTGCTGTCCCCCGGTGTGGGTATTTGGTTCCTGAAACCAGTGCCGCACAAGCAGGGCACTGGCCTACCCAAGACTTGTTGCACAAGACTGCTGATGGCGCCTTCCTTTTCACGTGTCATGTAGTCAAAACAATCCCCCATCGCTTCTTGTACATTTTAGAGTAACTTTTGCACATTCCTATTCAGTTCTTCAGTTGCTGACAAAGTTAGCGGCCATGCCTCCAGACAGCAAAGGAACAAAGGAAACTGAGCATTGTGCAAGAGATCTGGTATTTGTAAGGGCTCCCTTGATCTTAGTGAGGAGCATTTCTGTGCGTGTTTTCAGCAATCAGTTGCTGACTCTTGATTTAGCTCATACTGAGTTGTGCTCATCCTGAAATCAAGGCTTTTATTTCTATCTGCAAACCTTGCCTTACTGAAATCCTTTGAATACCAGGTCTTCCCTGTTGCTATAATAATCCCTGTATATGGATAAGCTATGTATAACAGTATTTTGAATCTGAGAAACAAGAACAGAAGAACTTCTAAAAAAAAATTTATTTACAAAGATTACTTACTGAATCTGGACTAAAATCCAGTATGATTGCAACTATTGAATATTATACACATTAGAAATAACAGTGAGATTTCCCTAATGTAAATTTAGAACATGGCATTTTAAACTCTTGGGAAAATACCCCCCTTGGAAAGTTTCACGTTTCTGCAAAATGCTGAGCAACTACCAGAGTGGGGCACTGAGGCAATGCAGAGTGAAACATGCAGATGTGTAGTTTCTGGAATGAGATCAGCACAGTGGAAGATCTGACAGCCAGTCATCAGTGTATCTTTTTTTGATTCCTCATCTCTAGAGCCATCAGAGGGCTTCTTCGGATGAGACTGATGTGGAGCGGTGGCTGTTTCGTGCAAAGGAGTCAAACAGCTCCTCAGCTGCTATTCATCTTCCTTCCAATTACTTACATCAAAGGAGTTAAAACAATCAACAGCAGCTGTGAATCTGCATTTCTACTACTCAAGAAGTTTTCACCCTCATTTTCAAAGCAGCAAAACAAGCATGAATCAAAACTGAAATGCTAAATTGTGGTTTAGTTGGTGAAAAATTGTAACATGGTTGTACCACCGTGATGTTGGAACCATGTTGAGATAGTGGCTGTGTTCCTAGCTGACAGGAAAAGGTAGATTGTAAAGTGGTGGGATTCAATTATTGATGCATACATAACTGTTTATCAGCTATGATATGAAATTGAGAGCTCTATATCACCTGTCAGGAGGAAATGTGTGTGTTGTCTCCTAGACTCTGCTAGAGTGCATGTGATAGTGATCCATCAGGCATCCATGAAATCAGTGGAATACAAATTACTGGAGAGTCAGAAATCCATATTTTGAGAAATTTTTGCAGGTTTCAGTACAATTCAGGTACTAGAAAGAGATCAGAATAAATGCAACTGACAATATGGAGTAATGGAGAGAGAATTTGAGTTTTATTAGAGATTTAGAGAATTTGCAGAAAAGGTGGAACCAACACTGGAAGCTAAGTACCTGTATTTACAAATCAAATATCAGTTATGTATCAGTTTATATCTAAGTTATCCTGAAATAATAAAAAAAGTTCTCCCCAAAACATCTTGCTGCTATTCATTCTCAACAGCACATCTCTCACAGTCCTTTGTGGGTTAATAACACTAGAAGAAAAATATCCCAGTGACTTGCCTCTTGTGCTTGAATTTGGTTCACCATCTAAGGCAATTTCAGAGGAGCCAGTGGGATGATTTGTTAATTATATTAGTCTGCAGTTTGGCAACATTTTTTACAGCAGATGTGTGCATTTCATCTGACTGTCCTCATCTCTTGCTGCTTGTTCTTGAATCATACAGTGACCCTGTTATGCTGATACTGTTCAGTGTCTGAGCAGTGAAACACATCAGAGAAGTGATCTGGGTTAAAAATAACTCAGACAAAAGCCCCCAAACCTACATCACATTTGTAGCTGGCCAGTTGTATTGGTTGTATTTATAGGATGGTTTAACCTGATGCTGCAGCTTTAGGAACTTTTTCAGGTAACAGCCTTAGCTTTCTACAAGTAGCAAGTCTACGAAGTTAAAACCTACACATCTGACTTAAAACGAAGCAATTTCTTTCCTTTCTTTTCACCAGTGCTGGTGAGAAGAAGGGTAAGAAAATTACTGAATAAAGAACATACTGATTCTGACATTCATTCATACTGAATGTTTGTCACCTTTCTTCTTTGGAATATATACTTTTTGATTCCCTAAGCTGGAAGGCATTTGTATTAAATTAAGTCCAGTGTATGGGCTGGTGTTGGGTAACTGATCACATAAAAGCTTTTGCTGTGTTATAAATACATGAAAGCACATGTTGATAAAAATCTTCATGGATATGGCTGCTTTCAGCTGTGGCTGTCCCTGGTCTCCTGTGTGCCACATAAGCCTACTGCTGCTTATGGAAGAGTGTCTCCACATCTACTCTGAATTCGAAATAAAAACAAGCAGTGGTTGGGATCCTGTTCCTAATTAGAAAGACATGAAAGTTTAATTTTTAAATTGTCTAAGTACTTAAATAATGCTATTTCAAATTTGAAGTTTCTAAACCTTTCTGATTTACTGAAACATGGAAAATTTAGGGTTTTGGTCAGACCATAACTACATCTTCTTTTTATGTAAGCTTCTCCTCCTCCACCCCCCAACAATGGCAGTTGGCCACAGAAGCTACTATTCATATGCTGTCATCTGAGAAATTATAGAAGGCAAATACACTCTTACCTCTAAGGCTGTCTTCAAGAAACTTCATCTTCCCTCTGCTGTAAGATACATGTGAGTTCTCATGAAGAGGTTGCATTGTCCACTGACAAATACAATTAAGCACAGATGTCTGATGCACCAAAAAGAAGCAAATGTTAGCAAGGGTCTTAATTGTATCATTTTGTTTATATTCTCTTAAGAGATCTGAATTTCATTTAGAATCAGTTAAAGAGAAACAATCTTTTAATTTAATCAGCTTATCATATATTTACAATCATATAATGTCCTTTTAGGAAATATTTTTAAAAAGTTTTTTCTTCCCTTGAAAAATTGTGCTGCTGAAGTAAAGACTGATCTGCCAAAAGAGCTTTCCAGAATTTAAACATAAAATAGTGTCATACAGACAATGACTATGACAACCTGACTAGAAGAAGCAAACAAAAGATAATTATTGTTAATAACAGCTTAACTAATAACTGCATTTTGATTTACAGATAGGTAGGACTGGAAATTAATCATTATATGTATATGTGTGATTGATGCATTGCATATCCTTTTTTATTTTTTAAAATTTTGTCAAAGATTCTTGAGTTGCAAGATCAGACACAACAAAATATCTGTTTCTGAGAGGAATTGGGCAGTAACCTTTTTTCCCATCCCAAAGGAATTGCTGAACTTTTGAAACTTTCCCATCTGAAATTCAAACAAAGAGTGTTTTCATGCACCATTTCTGTGTCTTTCTTTGTAAAAGTCTGGTTCAGCAGAGTTGTAGCATTTTTTTCATTATTATAACTTTTAAAAACAAATATTTTAGTTAGATCTAATTTCTTTGAGATAAAAAGGAAATATGTATGTTCAGAGAATTTCAACATAAAAAATAATAATTTATTTAAATCAACACTTTTCCATAATTAATTTTCCATAATGAATCAACATTTCAACACATTCATCTCTACACTGAAAACATTCTGACCACTTATTGATATTGTGTTTCTATTTTTTTTTTCATATTTCTGTACTTCCATAGATTCCACATGTCTGCTGATGAGATTGGATGCAATGGGAATGGAACAGAATCTGAAAAAACTTTGTGTAAATTTATTTCTTAGCTGCAAAGCCATTTTAAGTTAGACATTGGTCTGTTACATCTGCTAAGCAAGATAAACTGGAGCACAAAGTAAAAGCACAAGCTTGGCTATTTAAACAATAGATATTAGTTTTGCTGAAAAGGAGGATCAGTTCTGTACTCAGGTATGATTTTATGGAGCACTTACCATTAATGTTAGTTTCAATTTGCATCAGTGTTTAAGTATGTGCATGTATCAATACAATGGCAGTGTTATGTTATACAGGATTGCCTTAATTATTTTTATTTTACAAAGGTTTCCATATAAGAACACTTAAATGAATATTTTGAAAGGAATATAAGGTTCTTTGTTGTCTCTGTCATTTATTTGTAAGTTTTTTTAATAATTTCTAACAAAAAATATGTATGGTCAATGATTGGTGCAAGTTGGGCAATTAAGAGTTTAGAAACTGAGTCAAATGATGCTGAGGCTGAAAGTTTTTGTCTCCATAGAAAAACTAAGCACTATGAAAACAGCCCTCAAATTAGAAAGGTTGGATGTGTGTGGACCATGTTCTTCCAGCGGTGAAAGCAGCTAATATTTCAGATAGGAAAACTAC